ATAATAGGAATTCAGTAAAACGTTAGATTTATGTGATTGTAAATGGAGAAAATTAGTAGTTTACAGAAAGGGAACTAAATATAGTTTTAATAGAGTCATTATAACGTTTATGAAAGTACATTTAGCTACCAAAGAGATCCAACGAACGTGTATTAACAGACTGTAATTTACGACTACACTCTTTATTACAAACACCAAACTGAATAAATTTAAACCATTTATAACAGATTCTGCACAGAATCAAATGTGTAATTACAAATATATATAACTGTAACTAAAAGCAATTTAATTTACTTGAAGCAGGAATGTTCTTTCAATTAAATCATTTCAAAGATGATAGGTTTCCAACTCGTCAGCAATTGAATCCAGGAAGACTTCTCACAGATCTTTTGAATTATACTTAGAAAATAATTTCAAAATGATCGCGTCCAGGATTTCCTGTATGTTATAACAAAGTGTTTTAAATTTATTATTTAATATTCATAAACGGCAAAAAAGATGAATAAATAGCATTTATAAATTGAATAAATTCAATGTTAATTCTAAATTCGATATGGAAAGTGTGAAATAATCGAATCAGTTCCATCGATTATCAAGGTTAAGCCAGAATAATTCAATCTTTATTCATAAACTTATACAATGCGCTACAAAAGTAATCAATTAAAAAATCTGTGTAAAAAATAAGTCAAAAACTAAGAACAATTTTAATGTTTGAATAAGATATTACTAAATGTATCCATATATTGGTCAAGGTTTCATCAAAGTATTACAATCTGAACTTTATTCTAACATAAATACTTGTATATCATCTTTATAAGATGTTCTTAACAAGGTAAACTATTGCTTAAATGGAACAATACTCCCTTTGCCTTCAAGAAACATTTTCTGGACGATTTAATTACATAATTTAAAATTTATATTTTTGTCTTCTAGAAAAAGAGGAATTCAAATATCCAATTTTTTTACAATCAATTTATATTTACGAGATTGATTCCAGAAATAGAGTAAGTGAACGAAAACTACGAAAATGGAAATCTATAAAACTGTCGTGAAACCAATAAAGTAGTGTATTAAAGTTTTATTTTAGAATTTATCTAAAAGTAGACATACAAATCAAGATAAAGTGAGAACTGGTTTGTTAAAAATGTCTCTTCCATTAGTTATAAGTTTATTTGTTGATTTAAGCCTTTAGCTTCAATAAATATTAATTTTAAGAATATTACTTTCTTTAGCCCAAGTTCTGTATGATAGAACGTTCGAATTAAAATTTCTTGTAAACTTTTTTTCTAACTTGCTATGTGTTAATTAAACTAAGATTAGAACTAAAACTAGAACTAACACTAGAAACTTTCGGGTTTTGCCGTGCGTCTTTTAATAAAAGGTTTGACGTTTCGGATGCCATGTTGCAACCTTCTTCAAAAACTGGTTCGAAGTGGTTGCTATATGTTAATACATAACTTTATAATATCCTTTAAGAAGTAAATAGTTAATTGATAGCAGCAATAACACCACCAAGGAAATCAGAAAACAAATAATATATACAAAGAAATGCTATTACGACCTGCCAAATCAATTAAGATCATATTATACCTCAAAAACACGAAAATTAGATTATATAGGACAATTATTAGACCAGTCCTAATATACGTATTTGAAACATGGAGATTAACAATAAAGAATGAAGAAATGCTGTATGCTTTGAAAGAAAGGTCGTTGACAGATACAAATAATAAATCAAGAATTCTTCTTAACCACAAATTGTACCTGAAATATAAGAACTAAATATTAACTTCTTCTAAGTATGCCGACTAAAATGGATTTGCTATATCTAGGGAATGAGCGAACACGAAATACTGAAATCTCATGTATGAAAGGATGTCCTTAAGAGAGGATTTCGGTCTAAAAAGAAATTTTCTTGCAATTATGTACGTTGTAGAATAACTTTGTGAAAATCTATTTAAAGTTAAAGTTATAGTGTATTAAATGTATACTCTTAACGGTAACGTATGGAATAAAAAGAGAAATGAACATGTTGGTGAGAACAATTAACTAACAAGGTATTATGGCTTGGCTATCTACAGATATTCCGAGACAGTGGAAGATATGAACAAAATTTGGATAGTGCACTTACTATCATAAAAGTTCCCTAGATGGAAAGCCACAACATCAAAACTATCCAGAAAACTGAGATAATTTGTATAAGTGACTTAAAGCCGAATCCACTGGTTCACTTAAGTCCACCGCTGAATTTACAGGTTTGCAGGAATAACACTGAATGTTTAAATCCGTTAATTTGGAATTTACATTTAATTTCGATAACAATTTAAGTTGCAAATTTATTGGACGGGAGTAAAAATTAGCTAACAAGTAGAACAAACGCATTGCCACAACGAGGTCCACATTAGCCAAGCAGAAAGGCACTCGGCCGATTTCGCAAAAAACACAAACAGCGCAACACAGAGACGAAAGGGCAAACTTCCAGGATATTTACGACCTGGAAGACGGATTCCTTCATGGTCTTGGAATAGCAGATTAAGTGTACATACTTGTATTTCGAAGCTACCACAACATAAAAGTTATAAAAACTTCAATCCCGTTTTCTTCGAAATATAGCTTGCGATGTACGTTTTAAGAATCTCATTAGATTATTAGCTTTAGATAAGCAGAACGGTTGTAATTATGCTTACCGTGACGTGTATATATTACTGTTCAATAAGAATTTTACATAAAAAATTAATTAAGATACCTAAAAAATCGGGATTTTAAACGGGATTAAGAAGGTCAAGGCTCACACAGGGCTTAGCACCATGATGAGTATGGAGTATTGTCTACCGCTAAAAAATATAACCGAAATGAACAGAAAAGGCATGATGATTTCTCAGCCAAACATAATTGACAATATAACAAATATATGGGAGGCGAGAACTTATATAACGATAACGCAATTTCTAATTTTCAAACAAATGTGCGAGGTAAAAAGTGGTAAAAGGGTATATTACGATACGTCTGATGAAGACAGAAGATGATAGTAGTATCAATAAACCTTGACTATACAGGGTGATTTATTTGCTCAACATCAAACTTTGACATATGATAGTTAATCCAATTACCAAAAAAAAAATGTTAATGAACATATGAATGATTTAATGTAGAGGACGAAGAAGCTGTAATTAATGCTGTCATTGATAATCCTTCCATCAGCACTCGAAGAATAGCACACAACATACATCCGTATGTTCCGTTACATCCGTATCATAAACAGAATGTTCAAGCTCTTCAGCCAGGAGATAATCAGCAACGGTTAGCATTTTGTGAATGGTTATTGCAGCAACATGTCCAAAATAATGACTTCATTTCAAATGTTCTCTGGACAGATGAATCATGTTTTACACGAGATGGTATAAATAATTACCATAATGAACATATCTGGGCATTACAAAATCCGCATGCGATGCATTAGACCAAGAAACTTTCAACAACGTTTCAGCATCAACGTTTACATCAACATTAATACACGAGAATAGTTATTAAACAGAATACAAATAGCTGCTACTGTAATAAGAAATCAACCAGACATTTTAATTCGGCTGAAGAACTCTTTAATTCGTCGTTGTGAAGCATGTATTCTAGCAGAAGGAGGCTATTTTGAACAATATTTGCAATATTTATGTGTTTTAAAAAAATGTAGCAGTTAATTATGATATAAAAATTAAAACTTTAAAGTGTTATAATTTCATAAATAATTGAAATAGGACATTAACATTTTTTTTTTGATAATTGGATTAGCTATCATATGTCAAAGTTTGATGGTGAGCTAATAAATCACCCTATATATCGGTCTTCACCATTTGAAGACTTCATTCCTGATGAAGTTCGACTTGACAACGTGGGTATCATCATAAATCCAGATGACATTGTACATTGAGTTGTTAAAACTGTTTGTTTCTCATATTTAGACGACCAGATTTGATAGAGGTTTCTCATTAACTTAGAGAGCTCACTTATCCACGTTCGTTTTTAGTATAATGTTATGCAAAATTTATAAACTGAATTTAATTTGCTTATAAATTAATATTAATTAATTTCAATGTGGCATCGAACCAACAAAAAATAAAACAAAAATTCCATCCTAACTTAATTGCAAACTTAATTGAAGGAACGGTATTTTTACTTTCACCGGTACTAAATAAACCAGATTAACAGTAAAACACACGTTAACATTAAAGTTTTCGTCTGAGGAATTTAGCCCGTCGAACAATACTAATCCATTATATCGTTTTATTATGGTTATAGGAAAAATGTCGCAAGTAGTGATATTGCATGATTGGTTTTTAGCGTTCTTATGCTAGTGTTTATTGTACTCTTTTATAAGATATACATCAACAATTATATAATAGATTTATTACTATATAAAAAGGTAATAAAATCTGCTTTAGTACCAACCTATGTATTTACCTCATTTCCCATGCCAGTTTCTGGAACGGTAATTATCCAGTACTGGGTCATCACGTGTCAGCTTCTAGTATAACCGGTCCTTGTTATTAATTATTTAATTGATAATTTCCCGGAAGTGATATTAAATTACTAAAATACCTATCATAAATAATACTTAACATTTCAAATTGTAACGGGGAATAATCAAAATAAATTTATATTATAAAAGTAATGAAAATATGATAAGCAACTATAAGATTTACAAATTTTTAAGACTATATTTTACAAATACTGAAGGGTTATTCAAGTTAAATATGCGTGAATAAGAAAAAGACAACTTCACGTCTATATTTGGTAAAACTAATTTCGATCTTTACATAATGTAAATCATAATTTATTCGGTCGTAAACCCGAGACAAAGAGAGAAAGGAACCAATAAAATTACTTCACCATGTGAGGAGTAATAATTAGTTTCTTACCACAAAATTTATGTATATCTTTTATGAAAAGACATATTTAAATATTTTTTGAAACATTTTTTATAAATTAAAAAAATTAAAACTTACCTAATCCTAAAACGTTCAAATCTTTAGAAGGCGACTCATCACTCCTTCGTTTGGCACCATGTCCTCCTCCAACACCTTCACACAGCAAAACGGGAACATTATCAATCGAAGTATCACTGAATGAGGCATTGACGACAGTTTTACTTCTCACTAAACTCTCAATCTCCGATTGCATCTCATCGTTGCGATCTCGTAAACGTACATTTTCCAACTGTAGCTCCGACAACTTAGCCACAAGACTTTGGATATGAAGTTGTTCGGAATCGTGACTTTGTTGCTTCTCGTACTCTAAACTCCTCACCTGTTCATTAAGAGTATCCCGAGCTTGCTCCAATTCCGTTACTTGATTCGATAACGTTTGATTTTCTTTCTCGATGGAACTGTGATATTTATGGGCGACATTTAAATCGGAACGAAGTCGATATTCTTCAGTTTCCAAATTCTTAATACGTTCTTCTAAATTTTTATTAAGTGACGACATTTGATCTTTCTCATTCGAAAATTGTTCGGTGAGATCTTTAAGTATTTCGGAATGTCGCTGTTCGAGGTGTCTAACTTGTTTTAAAGTGCTTTTTTCCATTTTTGCGTGGTTATCGTCGACTTCTTGGGCAAGTAGCGAAGCCCTATTATTAGCCTCGGATACATCTGATTTTAATTTTTCTCGCTCCGCTTGCATTTGCTCTAAAATATTTTTTAAACATTTTATTTCAGATTGATACAAGGCTAAAACAGCTTGAAGCAACGCAATGTGTGGGTTTGAAAAATCAGATCTTGACGTTTCTTGAATTCCTTTTATTTCTTTTTCAAGAACCGAAGCTAATTCGACAATATCAATATCGTTTGAGGTAAATCCTAAATCATTTATCAATAATTTTGGGGATGTTATACCAGCCATTTCCCAGAGTTCAATTAATGTGTCAATGTTGATGTAACCATTCCCCCTTGGTCCTAATGTTATGTATTGGACGCTTTTGGAGTTTAAAAAGATCGAATCGTTTGAAGGACATGATATGTTTAAATCTGATTTGGGGGTGCTATTTAGGACGTCGCTCCATGCTTCATCTCGTTGTAAAATCTCGAGAAGTTCCTCGAAACTAATCCGATGATCGAAATCGTTTATTAATCGATCGGAAATCTGACGAAGTACCCCATTAGCTAACTCATTCAACCCGATCGCGTTACAAACTAAAATTAACTCCGTCTGATTCAAATACCCATCCTCACCCACACCTAATTTTTTCCACGCCTCTCTCAACATCGATTCAGTGCAAATCAAATGATTATTAATAAACGTTTCATCGTTAAACTCATTATCAATTAAGTTACTTCCCGGAAACGAAGTACATCTCTTTAAATTAACACTAGTCTTGCGCTTTTTCGTATACAAAACATCACTTTGAGAATTCGATCTTTGCACGGAATTCACGTTATTATTAATATTACATTTAGAATCGTTCCTCTCTTTAATTGGGGATACTATTTCATCGCTCCTCGGACGCGATCGTCTTCCGTATTTTTTCGAACCGTAAACGAATTTTGGACTGACTTCTCTTTCGGGAGAACCGTCAACTTGGTTGATGTTTTCGGAGGAATTTTGAATGTTGCCGAGCAAGGCGAGAAGCGCATCTTTGAATTCGACGAAAGTCGCTCGTCTTTTCGCTTCATTCAACAAGCACTTTATAAGTTCCGTGCCCCGTTCTTCGAGTTGTAATGTTTGACAAAGTTGTACGAGACCGTCACGATCTAAGCTACCTTTTTGATCATAATCGTAACTATCGAAGACTTTTAACAGCTGTTGTTCGTATGGGTCCAAAGATCTGTGTTCCATCATCATTTTATCGTGATCTGAAAGGATAATTTTGATTGAATTAGGGGAAATTAATTATATAGTGTGAGCAGCGCTGCCAACTCTACTGATATAAAAGGTAATCTACCGCTATAGCGATATAAAACTTTGCTACTGATTTAAATGAACTATTTATTTTGATCAGGTTTAAAGTAGAACTAACATTAGACCTAGAAATATTCAGGTTTAGCAACGCATCGAGAGAATAATCGAGAGTTTCTCCGGGACTACCTCGTATAATCCGACATGTAACTTTTTATACAATATTTATTTATTATAATGTAAGCTATACACCAAATATAAATGAAATTTTTAATAAATAAATAAATATGAAACATCAATTAGATATTTAAGTTAACTACCATTTCCGGTTGCTCAATACATTTAAAATTTGAATTAGAAAAGGTGTTAGAAAGTGAATAATTCATCCCAGGAGATTTATTCGAGAAGATTTTGAAATTATTTCCAAAGGAGTTCTACATTTCCGGCCAATTAAGTAATTTCCAAATATATCCATATTTTTCTAGATAGGAGTTAGATTTCCTATGATCCCACATTTTCTAATGATATTCACTAAATTTTACGGATTTCCATAAACATTGAAGAAATTTTGACGCTTTTCTAGGATAGCTAATTGTTTTTAGAATAGTTTCAAAGATTTCAAACGTTTTGTAAAGATTTCTGAAGATATCCAGAGAATTTTCTAATATTTCCATATATATTCAAAGAATATATTCTTAGATTTTGTGAAGTTCTTCAGGTTTAGCCGTCTTAAGAGATGCACGGCTAAACCCAAATGTTTCTAGTTCCAGTTTCCAGTTCTTAGTGTTAGTGCTTCCAACTCGACAGCTGCCTGCAATATTATTCTGTCTAGTAAGAGTCTAAAATATATTGCAGCGGTCTACTCAGATACTTGATTGTCAGAGAGTTTAATTCTTTATAATTTGTTGTACAATGATATAAAGTTAGGAAGAAGGTAGCCGTAATAGGTATTATGATTTTCTATACAAACTTACGGCTAGAGTAAACAATGCATGTCTTTGGTATGCAATGCCATGCATACCTTTGACGTCACCTACCTAATCTTTTTAAAATTTTGTACTACCTTTATAAGTTATTTTACCTTTCTTATCAGAAAATTCCAAAAAAGAGCCTAACACTTTTTTTTTACATCACGTCTGGTCAGAAAAGCAGTTGAAGTTATGACAGCAATGGACGTTGAAATAAGAGTTAAAAAAGCTTCTGAAGTGCACCGAATTCCGCCGATAACAGAAAAGTTGTTGCGTGTTGTGATCAATTTTTGTCTGAGGTACATACAAAGTGTTTCTATAAGTCGTAGCATAATTTTAATCACAAATACTAGAGTGGAAATGATGACGATTCGTGTAAAAATTTTTGGTCTAAAAGTCTAAACCCATAAGTGGCTAAGATATAGGCCATCAAACTTAAGATATTTTTAAACATTTTCTTAAATATTTTCAATATGGTTTATCGTAGAAAGATAAAATTTGGAAAACAGTACAATGTTATCATGAGAAATCGTTTAAGACCACTTTTGCAAAAATATGCCAACACGGGATCGATGCTATACAGGTGTTCACAAAGGTTATTTCTTTAAAACTTCTTTATTATGTCATAACCGCAAAAAGATTGCAAAAAGATACAACCTCGATTTTGGAATGTTTTATTAATCAACAATCTATAATTCAACAATCGTAGGTGCCTATGAAAACAAATTGTAAGTAAAGACAACCTGATAGAAAAACATTTCTAAATATCAAAAGACATTTACGTGAGACAGGAAATTTAAGACAGAAGTATGTAAATAACGGGAATCAGAGGTCAGTTCGTGCACCCCAACTAGAAGAAAACATTTTGAACTTTGAGGCACCATCAGTTTAGACATTTCAGAATATCCAAAAGTACGTCTTGGCATGTCCTACATGAACAGCAATTGTATCCATACCATTTGCCGAGAGTACAAGAATTAAAAATTGCTGATCATGCGTTGCAAGTATAGTGTTGCCATACTATGATGGAAAGTGTACTATTGATGCTGCGTTTTTAGAAAAAAGTATTTTTTGCAGATAACCATTCATTTGAAAAATGCTGAACAATAATTGTACTGAAGAAAATCCATATTTTATGCTACGTTGAGTAATAATTTGACAGATTTTTTTTAAACGAATTTGAATCGTTTTTGTGAATAACTCAAAAACGAAGCATCTAATCAAATTTGTAAGAGTAAAAATAGTTTTAAAATGAAATAGGCCTTTAGAATCAGTGGGAAAATTTAATGGTTTATGATATAATAAAAAGTTTTAAAGAAATAACCTTTGTTAACACCTGTGTAGCATTGATTGCACATTTTCAAAAGTAATCTTAAACGATTTCACATGATAACATTGCACTGTTTGAGAAATGTTATCTATCTAAGACAAACCATATTGAAAATATTTAAGAAAAATGCTTAAAAATTTCTTAACTTTGATAATCTATATCTTAGCCATTTATTAAGGATTGAGACAAAAAAATTTTACACGAATCGTCATCATTTTGGCTCTATTATTGGTGATTAAAATTATGCCACGACTTACAGAAACACCTGTATACCTCACCTATTGGATATGTCAAAGCTACTCGCTGGCAGAAAGTGGCTTCGATTATTCTAGCAACGCCATCCAAATGAATCCTAGCCGAGCTATGAAATTAAACAAATTCATGGTTAATGATTATTTCACAAAAGTAAAAACGCAATAATTAAAGATGTTACGACAAAACCTGAAAGAGTTCATCATCAACAAGTTGTTCTACCAAACAAAGATGTAAAAAGTTGCACCTCACCATGCAGAAAATGTAGCAATTATTACATACGAGAATAGTGTTGGTACTACTATTCCACCTATGGTTATCCACAAAAGCCCGCGATTGAAGCCAGAATGGGTGAAATATATGCCACCTGAAACAGTGACTTCCATGAGCGGCAGGAGCTGTATGACAACGGCTATTTTCATCAGACGACTTGACAACTTTTCCGAATATAAGATAGCCGAAGAAGTTATGCTAATATTTCATGGAGCGTCATCTCAACAGGAGGCAAATATTGCAAGTGTTGCTGATAAACATCACGTTATATTGCCCATTAAACATCTCATCAAATCCCCATTAAGGACCAGGCCCGAAATATCTCGGGACATACTATACACATTTGCATGTATTTGAAAAAGAATCGTTCCTTAAGGGGTTAATCTTTCAATACGACTTTAGGCCATACTTTGAGATGTATATATCCCAGCAGTATTGAAAGGGTCGAGGAAAGGGTTAAAGCAGTCTTCATGCTACTTGAAACCTTTTGTGATGAAAAAATTCTGATGTTCTATGATTGGAAGAAAACCCAACAACTTCAAGAAGAGTGATACAACAGATGAGACAGTCTCAGTGTGTTCTACATCAAGAGAAGAAGACTCTTCTGATTTCAGTGAATCTGAAAACAATCCCACCGTTTCGTCCTTGGAGTAAGTAGTACCAGTTTTTTGTTGCTGTCAGGCCGAGGGAAGCAGACCGTTTCGTCACTGCTACCTATAAGATCTATTGCAACGGTGGGCAAATGCGGCTCGACGAGCCGCATGCGGCTCCGTGAAAGATTATTTGTGGCTCTCGATAAATGTACTCGGGGTCCTTTTTTTTTTTTAGTATATAAAATATAATTTCTCTAAAAAAATTGTTTTTAATACCTTTTTAATATATATGTACGTATTTAATTGCGGCTCGCGAAAAATTCCGAATTTTCAAAAATGGCTCGGACTATCAAGGAGCTTGCCCACCCCTGATCTATTGTAACTTACACCGTCTAAAGGTTTAGGTCAGATCTAGGTCTTAGTGTTGCTCCAAAGTTTTGTTCCTTTATGTCAGTAAATATAAGGCAAAATTTTCCGAAAATTTTGTGTCTTCGACGACCTCTGACGATACAGTCATACATTCTCTGACTTATCGTTGCAAATCGACAAATTTGATCCTCAGTTTGTTCTTTGTTGAAGAGATGGTATCTTAGGGACGTGAGGCCTACCTTCAAGTCCTCCTATGTGTTAATTGCCTGTTCTAAGTGGCTTTTTTGTAGTCCACAGCTAGGTTGGGATTCAATAAAGGACGTCCTCACTGCCTCTTTGGTCAGCTTGTACACTTTTTCATTACCCACAATGTCTTCATAACCTAGAAACCACCATAGGGAAACTTCATTAACCCTGGCGAGTTTTCTCAAGTTATCAGTACGTTCTTTGACCACTGCGGAATCGTGGGCGACCCGATTGTCCGTACAGATGTTTATTGATGCCCTTTTGTCCCTTCTCAAGATTCAAAACGGTGCAGAACTTTATGGCAAGAACTTCAGTCTGAAAAATCAGAGCTTAAGGGCATCTTAATGTGTTTTTTTGTCGGCTGAAGTAATGAACTAGTACCATTAGAAGCACAAAATTCTTATGCACGAGATTCCGGAACCAACACACAGCAGTTTCATCCAGAATGGCAAAGGACCAATGTCTGATCACGCCAAAACAAAAACGCCCACAGATTATCAGACGTAAGGTACTGAACTATAAGGCAAGCGTAATCACTATTTCGCTGTTTAGAGATTCGCAGTATCCTGAAAACGTTTCAGAAAAGAAAAGGAAGAACAGCTCTGAACGGACAACCTAANAAAAAATTCTGATGTTCTATGATTGGAAGAAAACCCAGCAACTTCAAGAAGAGTGATACAACAGATGAGACAGTCTCAGTGTGTTCTACATCAAGAGAAAAAGACTCATCTTCTGATTTCATCTTCGTCCTTGGAGTAAGTAGTACCAGTTTTTTGTTGCTGTCGGGCTGAAGGAAGCAGACTGTTTCGTCACCGCTACCTATACGATCTATTGTAACTAACACCCTCTAAAGGTTTAGGTCAGATCTAGGTGCTTGATGAACCTTAGTGTTGCTCCAAAGTCTTGTTCCTTTATGTCAGTAGGTGTCAGGCAAAATTTTTCGAAAATTTTGTGTCTTCGGCGACCTCTGGCGATACAGTCATACAGAAGATGTTCCGCACTTTCTGACTTATCGTTGCAAATCGACAAATTTGATCCTCAGTTTGTCCTTTGTTGAAGAGATGGTATCTTAGGGACGTGAGGCTTACCTTCGAGTCCTCCCATGTGTTAATCGCCTGTTTTAAGTGGCTTTTTTGTAGTCCACAGCTAGGTTGGGGTTCAATAAAGGACGTCCTCGCTGCCTCTTTGGTCAGCTTGTCCACTTTTTCTTACCCGCAATGTCTTCATAACCTACAAACCACCATAGGGAAACTTCATTAACCCTGGAGAGTTTTCTCAAGTTATCAGTACGTTCTTTGACCAGTGGGTGACCCGATTGTCCGTAAAGGTGTTTATTGATGCCCTTTTGTCTCTTCTCAAGGTTGAAAACGGTGCAGAACTTTATGGCAAGAACTTCAGTCTGAAAAATCCGAGCTTAAGGGCATCTTAATGTGATTTTTTGTCGGCTTAAGTAATGAAGTAGTACCATTAGAAACACAAAATTCTTATGCACGAGATTCCGGAATCAACACACAGCAGTTTCATCCAGATGGCAAAGGACCAATGCCTGATCACGCCAAAACAAAAACGCCCACAGATTATCAGACGTAAGGTACTGAACTATAAGGCAAGCGTAATCACTATTTCGCTGTTTAGAGATTCGCAGTATCCTGAAAACGTTTCAGAAAAGAAAAGGAAGAACAGCTCTGAACGGACAACCTAAAAGGAAAAATTTGATCTTCAATCAAGGACAAGCACGGTGTCGACTACGGATAGTTGTAAAATATTTATACTCCGTTATACCTAACAGATAATTATTAGCTCACATGCAGCAAGTGACGCAAACAAGTTAGACTTTGACAAGAACTCGTTGAGAAGGCTAGTTTTCCATGACACACTAGGTTAAATATCGATATATGTGTGCATTTTTCAAAAAACCCTAATTATCACCCAAACTATTAATGTTAGGTATGGGACATATGTAATATAAAATATGTAAAATGAGACGCCGAAGACGACTAAGTAATAAAATATGGGGGGTGCCATTTAAAAAAATGAAGTTATGGTCCTTCAAAATTTCGAAAAGCTAACGTGCCATAGTAAAGTGACCAAACGATGTAGACAGCCGTTCTCGGTACCAAAACATACTCCATCATGTTACTTAATCATGTTCTGAATCCTAAATTGATATCGAGTGTTTTCTGATCTTCTGAACAAATGTCTGCTAGAGCAGATTTTTTTTAGAAAAAATCGAATAACTCGAAATCGACCGAATCAAATTGGAAAAAGTAAAGTTATTCATAAACCTTGAAAATAGACAAATCCAAATATGTAAAAATATATAGGATGTTCCACAATATATACGGTCTCGCTGAGACACCCTGTATGATGTGATCCCCAGAATGTGCTAACAATAAGTGATAACATCTTGTCTTTCTTCTATTAAAAGGAGGAGAACATTGAAATTATTTTGTCTCTAATTTTAGATTAAAATTTCTTAATGTTAATTTTCATATTTATATACACATTACTTCCAGGTCTAAAATAATGTAATCGACATTTGACCGACATAGGTTGGCAACGCTGAGTGTCAGAATAATTATTTAAATACAGTAATTCCAACGGTTTGTTATAAGCTTAATTTTATCATTATCTTATTATATCTTGTCATAATCGAAATGATCAAGCATAAAACCGACCATTTCCTATGTTTACCTTATGTTATTACCTGGCGTTATCAATTCCATGTATATTTATTATCAAACATAAACATATTTGTTGCTAACAAAGAACCTTTACATTCATTATTAAACATGAATTATTGAAGTAGTAATTACTACATTTCTACAGCATATTTAAGTAAATAATTTAATTGGAAGCATTCAAATTACAAGATAATCTTCTAATTATTTTAAAAGAATTTAATATTATATTCACATACTAAGTACTTAAGGCAAATTAAAATAAACATGATAATTATATTCTGCATGACTACCTCGGTGCTTTTTCTCTAACAGTTACAAGATACTGTTATTTTTTTTGTAAAAGTATAAAATAACGCATGATAAATTCATGTCAAATTCTTACGAAATGATTTCGATCACTTGGTGGTGGTTCGATATTGAAGGTAGGTTAATTCTTTTCCGCAGGCTATAAAAAAACCTTTCCGATTAGCGGCGTATTACATTTCGGGTATGAGGAAGGAAAACGATCGGCTACGAATAGACGAAAAATTATCGAATACCTACCTAAACATTGGCACAGGAAATCCTGGACTACGATGGAGTAAATTGTAGTGGATACATTTAATAACTCACGAGATACGCAGAAAAATGTTGTCACGAAACACCAACGAAAAAAACTGAGTTGAAATTCTACCACTGACGGCAATCTACTACTAAAAACCGTTCTTGAACGACCGAACCTATAGATGTCTAACCGTACCGTAACTGTCATCCCCACACACGTCAAAAAGACAATTGGGACGATAAAATAGAAATCTACCCAACAGTTATTAATAATAAATTTATTAAAATTATTATTTAAACATAAAACCATTAAAATATAATTTTATTACTTTAACTTTTTTTTATTTATTATTTAAAATAAAAAAAAATTTTCATTTACAAATTTATTATTGTTTATGAAAATCCTTTATAGATGGCAGTATTAAAGGTTTTTAAAATAAAAAATATTTTAAACTCAAAAATGAATAAAATCATTTATTAATGCAATTATTATTATAATATAATATTGTTATACAATAACAATCTTTAAAAGAAATCGTTTAATCAACATTTATAAACTTTTATAGAAGGATGTTAGATGGCAGCACTCACCACCAAAAAATCATAAGATTTTTAAGGTTATGTAGTACTCTCAAAATATAATTTTTATAAGAATTTAAAAACACAATGTCAGAAGATAAGGTATTTATGCGTAAATATATTTCTAATTTGTGGATATATAATTGTATTAAAATTTTAGGCCATAATTCTTTTTGGTCAAGACATAACCAAAATACCATGCTTCAGAAACAGTTTTTTATATGGAATTTCGGGAGGATTGGGTTGTGGTTTAATGTATTTCATGTTTACCAGTAAACCGTTGATGGCTAGTCATTGTGCGGTAGCTTCTTTTGGAGTGATTACGATATCGTATTGGGCCCATTGCAGATATAATTATTCAAAAGCCCGGTTTGAAATGTTAAGGTTGCAAAAATTGTTGCAACAACATGCTATGTATGAAGGTACGGAAGCTGAAAAAGAATTAGATAAGAAATTAATTAATAGTAATCCTGTGGATATTTAATGTCTTTAGTTTTTTTTTTAAGAAATATTGATTTATTATTATTAAATGACTGATTGTCTTGGATTAATGTGATAGTAGCAAAAAATAGTTGTTTTATTAAATATTAAAAGAAATGTGTTGATTTATTTTAAGTATTGTTACCTAATTCCTTAATTTTAATTTTAATATCGTTATTTAGAAATAAATCATTTTGTTTATTATGTATTCTGTTTAGTTATATAAGATATCATCCTTAAAAACATGTTTCATTAAGGTGGAATCTAAAAATGTAGCTGTGTAAAAGTCTAAGTTTGTGAGATAACAAATTCTTTAAGTTACAATATATCAACACTGCCAAGCCTAAACGACATTCAAATAGGTATTTGCACAAACTTTAACCAATATTGTTCAGCATTGTAGCTAAGTAAAATCAACCATTTCGGCGTTTATGCCGTTTTGATTTAGCAGTCTATGTTACAGAAAATTCCATAGATACTACAAAAAGCGTTTAAAGAAATCTGGTAATCAGAGCTGGAAAGGTAAGTCTTAACACTATAAAACATTCTTTAACTACAGCCAATTTGTCAATTTTCCCTCAGGTCTCTGTGGTATCTTTATCATCTAAGCTTAGGCACCTTATGAGGAAACTGAAACGTTTTTCTGACATCGTCATTCGAAAAATATTTATCCTAACTTCAAAAATCGGACAATCGTGGATGTCCACCTCTAAAGACGCCCACCAGATAGAGTAAGCCTAAAAACGCCTTCATTTCTGCTGTATTGGTAGGTCGGCAATTTCTTGTTCTCTCAAACTTTTCATTCACTTTTACTATGTGTGGATTAGTGCGGTCCACTAACAGATTAATGACAATCTCAGTACAAAATAAAGTCCATGTCTGAAATACACTTTTTGGATCTTCTCTTATTACACCAGGGTTTTATCTCAACGTGTTTTCGAAGTATTGGATGCTTTCTTTATCTATTGTGTGCTGTCTTTCCCTATTTATATAGGTTTATCGTTTAGATACAGGGGTGACCATTATAAAAATTCAGAACTTACCCAAAAAGAATTATCGGGTTCATCCTAATACAGTATATTTCAGCATTGAACAGACCCGATGTAGCTGTTTAAACCCCAACCACGTCAAAGGTTTAAATACGTTTTTCTTAAAACTATATTTTAAAACGGTGACCACGATATCTCGAAATCTATCGAACGCTTTCTTTTGAATTTGAACGACTTATTCAGCACTCGTGTAGGCACTTTGCAAACTAGGATAATTCAAATTCGGCAGGCGTTTTCTTTTTCGTGGCGAGGAAGTTGTAAAAATACATCAGAATTCAAGAAAAAATGTTCAACGCAATGCCAAAACTTTACCTTCCAATATTTTTTTAATGATCCTAGTTCAAAAGCTAGTTCATACTTTACAAATTACAATGCCGGTTGATTTTTTTATTTTTGAAATTAATTGCATTTTTATGAAAAAAATCTTGAAAACGCATTTATTTTTGTTCATTTAAAGTTCTTTTCCCCCCTAAAAAGGTCGTCCCGTGTGAAAGCTTTTCTTGCGCTATTTTTGCATTTTTTTGCAAGTCCACAATAAATAAACAAGACAGGTTTGAAATTAAAATGTGATACTTCTGTACTTTTAACTGGTCGTTTATTAAGTTTTATTTATCTGACTAGTTTCGGTTTAAAAAACCATCTTCAGAGATAAACTGCAAGAAATGTAATACAAAATAATTATTTTTTTCTGACGGCACTTTTGAAACGAAATAGATATCCAACTCAAGTGTACATGGCGCACAATATGAAAATGACCGCAATGGTTTCCAGTGACAAATAATGAAATCATGGCGTATTTTCCGTTGAGCACCATAATGCCTGAGATAGAAAAATTTAAAATAAATCTATATTGGACAAAACGCAAAATATTAGAAATGCAATATTATTCGCAAATAATGCTTCGTAGACTTTTTTATAACGCGATTTTTTCACTTTGTGAAAAATGAAATTAGTTCTGAAGAAGATAAAATACGAAAGATTCGGCCTGTACTCGATTGCTTAAAACCAATGGAATGTGCAAGCCAGCAGTTCTACATCCGTGGAGTGTGAGGTGTCGATAGGTAAGACTACTACTTTCCAATGTATCATCTAAAACAGGACTTTGTCTCGCTGATATGTTAATACTAACAGCGGCAAGAAGAAAAAAACATCATCATATACCAAATACACCTTACAATTATCAAACTTTAAGCCTTTGTGTTGCCGTTATAAAACGGAATAATAAATACTTTGCACTATCTAAATATGGGTTGTACTATCTAAATATCTATCGATGTTGGCCAAAAACCACTAGTTAGTAGGCAGGTTGATGTTTAGTAATACAATCGTCATAACAGTAACAATCATATTTTAAATATTCTGCTTTTGTATCGGGGCATAACAAAAATTGATTACGTTTTTAAAATCATTTCTTTCTGCAGAAGTAAATGGTGCGTTTTTGCAGCGTATTAAAACACTTTTGGGGTAATAAAATTGTATATGATGCGGACAAAATTTTGAGACCATATAAAATTGTTAGGAAACTTTGTACTCTCTACAACAATATATAAATAATAAAAGATAATGCTTTGTTGGCGTCGCACGGGTACTACATTTGAAGTAGAAAATAAAATAAAATCACAAATACAAGACTTAAAAGTTCATAAAGTTAAAGCTACATAACTAATAACATCATAACATCATCATTAATAACATAATTAGATAACATCATAAAATACTAAATAATAACAAATTTCATAACGTACTGTTTCGATCTGCAACAGGTTCAGAATTTACCAAAATTGGTTATTTAAGAAACCTTTTATTCACTTCACATTGCATTTTACTGTTGTGTGTGCACTGAAGATAGATTGATTCACCTTTTTTGTCATGGACATAGGCGGATAAAATAAAAATGGTCATATTCTACATCTCTTGATGTTTGGTTGAGTAAAAAGGCGCCGGACTGTATATGTGATATTATCATTCATACCCTGTGTGGGGAAATTCGTATTTACCTGCATTATCCTTCCAAATGGCAATATTAAAATTTACTAGCAATTTGCAGCTGTGCATAAATTAGGGAATGATTGGAGCGTATTCGACCGGAAACGTTTGCTTCTTGTTATTAAAAAATACGCCGTCACTATAAAAAAAGACAACAGAAAGAAGGAAATAATAGTGAATCAGGTCTAACCAAAACAAGTCAAACCTTGCGACCAAACAGGTCGCAAACTTTGTTACAACGAGAAACAACTTTAAAAAATATAGTCCTTAACGAGATTGTCGAATAACCCAAATTAACGATTGATAAAAGCAAGGTACTTAATAAATTTTTTATAACTGCATTCGGATAGGAAAAAGCTATAGATACAAACTTAAAATAGTATTACATGGAGATCAGCTTATTGACTATGGCGGGAGTCGACAATTACAATATCGTAACTCAAGAACCAATTGAAATGTAATGACGAAACTAACCGCATTTTTATCAAAATTAAAACTAGATTCCAACTGGCATAATTATTTTCTATAAGCATAGTTGTTATTTTTAACCCCTTAACGTACATTGCCTTTGTCAAAAGTTGGTAGCTAAATATATCATTTTCCTTTATTGCTGATAATTAATCCTTAATAAATCTTGAAACCATACACACATTTTTTGAGCAAGAGTTATACAAATATACAGTAAATAAAACTGTATACTACTATCCGTGTAAAAAGTCAAGGCCCCTCACTTTAGAGATCGATATCTGCGTAACCGCTCTATGGAAAAAATTACAGTAAAGTTTATTGTAATCAGTGAACATTTCTGGATATCATATGTTAATTTGAAAATTTTCGGGTCTGCGGTTTTTCTTTTATCGCGAGTTAAGTGAAAAAAGTACCCGATTTTTGAGAGTGCCAGTAACTTTGTCTACTTTGCGATTTTTTTTTTCCAAAACTATATGACGAAAAAATTTCAAATTTGAACTGGTGGTAAACCGATGTGTTCTTAATGTGATACATATTTTATTTTTTCGATATTCCATACAGTTTCGTGGAAAATCGCGGTTTGGTAGGATGCGGTTATTTCGAAAACGACCTGGCGGACTTCAACGCGGTTTTTACCAAAATATGTCAAATAATGTCGGTTGTCGGATTCCGTTATGAATTTTCCAAAATTAGGGCTCTCTAATTTTTTAAGAGCGATTTAATGGAATTACAAATTAAAGAGAAACAGAAATAAGCCAAGCGGGGAAAGAAGGGTCCCGCCAAACCGAAAAAAAGGGGGGGCCCAAAAAAGAACGCCCCCCCTTAACCTAACCAAAAAAAAAAAAAAAGCCCCAACGCCCGGCCGGGAACCCCCAACCGGTCCCAATGGAACGAAACCCCCGCAACCCGCAAAACCTAATTCCGGTTTTCCTCCAACTCAAAAATAAAAATTTTTCCGAACAAAAGTAAAAAAAAAAATCGCAAAATTGACAAAGTTGCCGGTACCGTAAAAAATCGGGTACTTCTTTCATTTAACTCGCGATAAAAAGAATACCGTGGATTCGAAAATTTTCAAATTGACATATGTTACGTAGAAATGTGCAGTGATTACAACAAACTTTGTCGCAATTTTTTTTATAGAACGGTTGCGAAGATATCGATCTCTAAAGGCCTTGACTTGTTGCACAGATAGTAGTCCGAATAACTGTATCCGGCCTATCCGGTCATTTTTTCAAAGCCGGCCGGATATCGGATAGTTAAAGCCGAATATTAAAAACCTATTACTTAGTACTCTACCATTCACAGGAATTAGTATCTCTTTTAGGTTTTGGACACTGCAGATAATAATCAAGTTCAACCCCAATAGGACTTTTTTCATTGAATAGGTACAACTTTATTTATATCAGGTGTGTCATTAGCAACCTCATTCATTACTAACAAAACTGTCGCTCTTATCACTTTCGATTATTAATTAAAGTATCCTCTTTTTAATACAAGCCGTTTTGAAAAATCACTTTCAGTTCTTGATAAATAAATTTTTGAAATGATCAAAAAATTTTTCGGATCCATTTCTTGGAATATGAATATGAAAATATCCCAAAGTGTCCTCTTTCCAATGAACCAACACGTTTTGAAAAATAGCTTTTAGTTTTTGAGAAAACAATATTTGAAGTTTTGATAAAATTTTCGATGTTGCAATTTTCATCGATAATTTTCAAAATTCGCTATAAAATTAATTTCTTGAAAGATCCTTGTGGAAATATCATCAATTATTAATTAAAGTATCCTCTTTTGATGCAACAAGCCGTTTTGAAAAATCGCTTTTAGTTTTTGAGAAATAAATTTTTGAAGTGATCGACAATTTTTACGAATTTTGAAATTTTCGCCGATTAAGTTTTAAAGATTCATATAAAATCGATTTCTTGGAATATGAGTATGAACATTTCCCAAAGTGTTAATAAAAGTGTCCTCTTTCCAATGAACTCTTCCCGTTTTGAAAAATAACTTGTAGTTTTTGAGAAAACAATGTTTGAAGTTTTGATAAAATTTGCGATGTTGGAAGTTTCATCGATAACTTTCAAAAATCGCTATAAAATTTATTTCTTGAAGGATCGTTGTGGAAATATCACCAATTATTAATTAAAGTATCCTCTTTTTAGAGTTGCTTCGTTAGTTAAATCAGCATCAAAAATGTTCATTTCGTATGGTATCCGGCTTTCCGCAAAATCACTATCCGTTCCATTACTACTGTATACTGTATACTGCCCGAGTGAGACTCGGGCTTGCGCAAATTCGCCATTTTTGGTTGTCCGAGTCATCGGGCTTGCGCGTTAAGGGGTTAAAATTCAACTTGGAATATTTAATTTTTTTTGATTTTAAGAATAGTATTTAAAACATTGTACCTCAAGAATGAATTGAGACATAGCGATGAAATAAAACATTTTAAAGCAAATTTAATGAAGATTAAATTAAGATTTAGTAGTACAATTGATTTCTTATCTTTCATGAACTACATTGTTACAATTTTTTGGATCCAACTTAAAACATATGATTGTTTCAGATTTTAGGAATTCAAAGAATCTTATCTCAAGAACGAATTGAGATTTAAGGATGAAATAGAAGACGTTTTAAAGCAAATTTAATAAATTCTTCAGATTCAACGTGGCATTTTTTAAACCCAACTCGGTAGATTTCATTATTCCAAACTTTAAGAACTAACTTAATACTAAAGAAATTTTATCTCAAAAACTAATTGAGATATCATTATGAAATAAAAAGCAATTTAAAGCAAATTTATTTAGTATTTATTATTTTAAAGATGGTTTTTTGAAATATTCAAATTTCGGAGTTAGGATCTTTTAAATGCAACTCTCTGCATAACTGTATTCATAATTGTTGGGATAATAGTAATTAATCTTTACGTATCTCAAACCCTAATTGACAGATTTATGAATTTTTGAATATACCGTTATAGAATAAAAAGCAGTTACAAGCAAATTTAATGAAAGTTTAATGCACTATATATAATTTCTTATTTTCCATATACATCGCTATTATAATTTTTTAAATCCAAGTCTCCATGTTTGATACTAAATCTTACCAGTTCACCTGTTTCACTTCAAAAATTTACTGTCGCACTCTTTCCGCACTAACTGACCGGCCAAGATAGATATACTAAACTATACTTTACTTAAGTATATTATTTGTTATTTAATTCTTATCTATTAACGCATGTATTGTTCCTTTTTCCATAATAATACCGTTTTTTAACTAAAATACGCATTCAATTTTATCTCTGAAGTAACTGATTTACGGACCTTGTTTTTTTTTCTTTGCTCTGACGATTGTTAGGTGGGTAAAATATACGACTCCTGATAAACAGACTAATTACAATTACAAATTAAATTTCCCGTCGATAGATTATTGCATGATATTTTGCATATATTACCAGTCTAATTGCATCTTATAAAAATATGACAAAATTAAGACTAAACCACGCCAATTAATAGCTTCTTTCTTTACTTTAAAGTATATAAATACAAAATATTTTATTTGTATATAACTCAATCTTGAGATTTGGTGAATACGTCGTGAATACATCTTGGCGTAAACATGATAACCAAAACGTAATTAGATAAATTATAAAATTAAATTATATGTTAATATAAAAAACTATTACTTATAATAGCTTTAGTCGTGTCTTGTAATCGCAATTGTTAAGAAACGCTTCTTTAGATTTAAATTTTTATTGATAGATGCATATTTTATTGATATTACTAGTTTATTAGTGCTAAATAAAAATAAAATTTGAGTGTAATACACTCCCGATTTTAAATAGTATTATTTATTTGAACTGTTTCTATGTGAAATGTTTTTATAAAAATTCCGTAACTGCACATGACTTGAAAAAGTATTGGTGGGGTTAATATTAAGGCGAGTCGATGACAATGTTTGCGTCTAGTTTATCAGCAGCGTGTCAGTAGCTTAACCGCATGCGATTAGTGAGAGTGTTTGTGAAACTTTAAGATGACTTCGAAAACATCGACATTAGTGTTTTTTGTTAATGGAAAAAAAGTAAGTAATGATAATAAACCATTATCTTATCAACAACTCATATTAATGTATTGTTTAATATTTTAATTATGTAATTATGCGTGAATATTTAAAACTGTCTTTTTTGGTAAACGTATTTTTCCTTTATTATTTATAAAAATGTATGTAAAATTGAAGAAACATGCGATTTGCGTCAATTGAGATAAATAGGTTTTCTTATGAAACTAATCGTCTCTTTCGTAACCGACTATTGCACCAATTAGTATTTAGAGCAAATCGTTTAAGATTAAACTTTTTAAATGAAAATATTAAAAAATGAACTTGATTAAATGTAGGTATATGAAAAAACAATTGTTTATTTTGCAATATCAAAAAAAAATGATACTTCAATATTTTAGATATAAAATAAATTATTTTCTCGATTCAATTGACCTTCACACGTTATTATTTGTTTGCCGATTTATCTCAATATCTATATATATGTATATCTCACCAATCATTTCAAAATGTGCATGCTACAAGAATGAAGGTGGCACATGTATTAAAAACCAAGAATTCTTAAAAACATCTTTTTTTTTATTATTTTTTGCGCTAAAAAGACATTATATATATTTTGAGGAAACAATGTTTTACGTGTTTCTCACCGATTTTAATGAAATTTGGCATAGTGTGGGCCAAATTAAAGTTGTTAAAACAAATTAAATTAACAAATTAAAAAAAACCGTGCGACGATAGCAAACCTCTCAGCAACAAACTTTTACCCGTAATTTCCTATCTACTTTCTTAGCTGATATCTTCCTTGTTATTAGAGATACCGAAAAGCTAAATGCACCACTTGAAAGCTTCAATCTGTCTTTATCTAAAACCGTTTTGAACCGATAAATTGATATTAAGATCAATAAAAAATGAAGAACACCGCTCTGTACTTAAAATAGCTAAAAATTACCAAACTTCAAGGTCTTGTGCAATTGTTATAAAACCGAATTTCAAAAACTGTTATAACAGTCAGAAATAGCGCTCCTTCAACTATCTTAATCCGGATTTTCGTCGGTCAATATCTATCGGCGTCATGCTTAAATCACTCTTAATATCCATCAATACACGCAGAAACGCTTAAATACTCTTCCTCTAAACAACTTTCTTATATGACCAGGAGAAAACTCTAGAACTATATCTATCTTATCGAAAATTTTCTGCTCTTTCTAGTGGTGTATAACACATGTTTTGCGCCAAAAACTACTAACGTTGTGGATTTTTCTGTTTTTAGTTAAGTGCCATTTGTGACAGGGATTATGGAAAAATCACCAAAACACAATCTTTGGTGTAGATTTCAAATTTTGTCCGCCATTTTTAACCCTTTAACGGTTAGTGGCTTTTATAGAGACCACTTGTCAATAAGGTCAAATAGCTACATTACCACGACTAAATCGTTTCTTAAAACGAAAAAATAATTTACCCGTTAAAGGGTTAAGAAATAATTTGCCCGTTAAATGGTTTAACGAGTTTTCGATATTTTTTTCCAATGGCAATTCCCCATTTTTAGTGCGGAATATGAAAGAAATTTTTTTTCTGAATCTAGTACATTCAATATTAATATTGGTTACATAAGAAAATTTTCGAGAAATATTACTTTAAAGTTTAATTACTTCAAATTTATATAAATGATAAAAATAGCAGTAGCCATGAGTAACTATGGTAACCAATTATTTTAAACAATTCCCTGAGTGTCAAAAACTGATTTAGTAGCTCCTTCAACTGTGGTGGCGCACCATCTTGGAATAACTGCCGTTAGAACTGAGTTGGGTCAACATTAGCGGGATGGAAGGAATGACATAGTTTTTAAAGAATTTAAACATCTTTTTCCATTTAAGGTTTCCTCAAATCTTTTGCGGATATTGGGTGTGCAACTTTAACGTTTGAGTGGGTAAACCTTTAACGTAATTTTTTTCGAACATTTTCTTATGTAACGAATATTAATATTGACTACTGTACTACAAAAAATCCTCTTTCATATTCCTTAATAAAAAAAACATTTAAAGTCTACTAGTATATCTACTAGTAACTCTACTAGTATGGGATGTAATCACAGTCTCCTGATTTTTCAGCATATAATACGCTGGTGAGGGAAAAAAGTGGGGTTGCCATTTAAAAAAATTTACTTTTCGAGATACGGAAATTTGACGCACATTTCTGACCATTCTGTATAACTTAAAACAAAATTTTCAAAGATTACACAAGTATACACGGTTTTGGACCTGAGCAACCAAAAGCTGTTTATAAGGTAAATTGGGGTTTGCTGAATCCAAATCAGCAACCCGTTTATTAAAATTGGTTCTAGTTTTCCAAATATTCAATAAATTCATTATTGCTATTTTTGAGCATTAACGGCCATTTATTGAATTAAATAGTAAAATCAGAAATGAACAGAGGTTGCACTGAGTCTTTTATACTGTTTGGGATTTGTTTCACGCATTAGGGTCCAACAGTAGTCGCTCATCATGCCTTCGTCTCAAAATCCTTGGTATCGCCTTTTGATTTTCGCTATATCTTGGTGTAGCCGCTCTCCTTGCTCGTCGCTCGTGTCGCCCAAGTTTTGTGGGAAAAAATCAAGATGTCCACAATCAATGTTGTGGTAATTTTGCAAAAAATTGTCGATTACTTGCTTGTAATCAGGTGATTTGTGGTTATCGAGAAAGTTACGAACAACACTTTGAAACGATGCCCATGCTGCTGCTTCATCAGGCGTTAAACATTTTGTAAACTTAGATTCTTTGATTTTTGCGTATGACTGCTTTGGAAACAACTTGATTAAGTACTGGAAAGCCGCTCCTTTCTCACATAATGATGATCAACTGCACGGTTGTCCCACAGACACAAAAAACAGCAAAATTTTGTGAATCCAGATTGCATCCCAACCAATAGACCAATAACCTTTAATGAATATGTAAATCGATTAATATATATTTCGAAATTAAGTACAATTAATTTATTTCTCAACCTTTAGATCGCTACAAATTTTCCATTGATGCTTATTGTATTTGATTTTGGCCAAAATTGTACGCATTGTGTCGTAGCATTCTCGAGTTTGTACTGCGTGAGCAATCAGAATGGATGGTTTTTTATTTCCAATGTGGAGTAGAGCCGCCTCCAAACTGTACTTAGAACCATCTAAGTACTTTCTGACTGTGATAAGTTTTTTAAAATTCGGTTTTATAACAATTACACAAGGCCTTAAAGTTTGGTAATTTTGAGCTGTCCGTCCAGAAATAAGTGTCCGATATCGATTTTTTTTTTGTCCAAAAATAAGTGTCCGATTTACTTAAAAATTAATTTATTGAAACTTAACTACAAATATCGTTTCTAAGAAACTTTTGACGGTCATATAAGTATTTAAACTAGAACTTTTTTCATTGTATACAACTTTATTTATGTCAGGTTTGTCATTAGCACCCTCATTGTAACAATACCAATACGATATATAAAATCTCGTTGCAGTTTCGTCTAGTTTTCTTCTCTTCCCTTGTAATTCATCATCACATTCATTACTAACAGAACTGTCGCTGTTATCACTTTTGATTATTAATTAAAGTATCCTCTTTCTAATGCAAAAAGCCGTTTTGAATCATCACTTTCAGTTCTTGAGAAATAAATTTTTGAAATGATCGACAATGATCAACAATTCGTATAAAATCCATTTCTTGGAACATGAGTTTGAAAATTTCCCAAAGTGTTAATAAGAGTCTCTTTCCAATGAACCGGAATAATAATGGCCGCATAGATATGCCGGATAACTTGATATCCGGCCGAAGAGGATGCCGAATATCCGGTATCCGGCTTTTCGTAAAATCGTTGCTGCAAAAGGAAAACCTTATCCAAAGTATCTGAACTCAAATCGGAAAAGGCTTTTTCAACTGCAAGAATTAATTCGTTTATAGTTTAGCAAGCCGATTTTTACTGTAATAACTGAATTGCATTAAAAAAGCCTAAATCTAAGACGTTTGTATCGGGACTTGGGTTGCTGACATTTGAACCCAGTTCTATTTGAATCTTCATTAAACTCATTGTCACCAGGAAGAATGTGTGGTTTAGCGTTGTCTTGCTGGATCCAAATTGTTTGGCGATGACCGGATCTTGGCCATTTTGCTTGAATTTCAGGCAACAATTTTCCAATAATCATGTTAGATTGGAAACTACTTTCGTTTCAATGGTCCGATTTTTACTGCTCCGTTTAGCAGGTTCCAAAAACACAAAAGGCCAAATACCAAGATTTCCATCGAAGTTCTTGTTTTCAGAATGATTTCAACGTGGACTACCTACACTGGCTAAGAACATTACTTTTGTGTGAAAACGTTTACTTTTACAGGTCCTGTGCGGTTCTTCTTCGCCTTCAACTAGGTAATACGACTCAGCTGTTTTTGTGAGGTAAAACCATTTCGTCTACATGAATTCAATCATACATATCGATGAATTTGGGAGCTTTAAAAATAACATTTTCTATACAACTGCATTTTATTTCTTTTTGAGTCACCTGTTGTAGAGCGACTAATCTATGGAATAGTTAAATGTGCAAAACTCACGTTCTCCAGTTGTTAATTTCATAAGTAACATTCTCCAGGGAGAATGTGACTTCTGCAGCTAGACCTTTAATTTAAAGCTTTACAATAACACTTCGTTTTTGAGATATAAGCGATATAACTTTCAAATAATACATGTGCCACATTTCTTCCTAATCGACTTGTCGTTTAGACACCTTTGATACTACTCTTGTAAGTAAATGAACTAAAATTTTTACATTCTTAGGTTACAGATAACGCAGTTGATCCAGAATGGACATTATTAAACTATCTTAGAAATAAATGTATCCTTTACGCATTTCTTTAGGCTTCTTTTTCTAATAAGAGAAAAATAAATATCCTTAATAATTATTTAGTAAAATTATGTGGAACAAAACTTGGTTGTGCAGAAGGGGGATGTGGTGCTTGCACAGTTATGGTATCCAAATACGACAGAGATGCAGATAAAATAACGTATCCTTTTTTAAAAGCATTCTTTAAGTCATCAATTTGATGAAATAGTTTTAATTTCCTTATAAAACAATTTAGTCATATACCTGTTAATGCATGTTTGGCTCCAATATGCAGCGTTCACGGTCAAGCTGTGACAACAGTCGAGGGAATAGGATCGACAAGATCTCGTCTACATCCCGTTCAAGAAAGAATAGCAAAAGCACACGGTTCTCAATGCGGATTTTGTACACCCGGAATTGTTATGTCAATGTACACTTTATTGAGGAATTCGCCAAAACCTAATTTTAAAGAATTAGAAGTTGCCTTTCAAGGGAATCTTTGTAGATGCACCGGATATCGGCCAATTTTAGAAGGTTATAAGACTTTCTTAGAAGATTGGGAGGTCTTACAGAACGGAAATAAGATTCCAAACGGAAATGGACTAAAAAATGGTGACGCCTGTGGAATGGGAAAAGATTGTTGTAAATTAAAATCACCCGGAGATGAAGAAATTTTGTTTGATAAAAGCGAATTTGTGCCGTATGATTCATCTCAAGAGCCGATTTTTCCACCCGAATTAAAAGTAAACGATGTATACGATAAACAAGAACTGTTTTTTAAAGGAAAAAATGTTGAGTGGCATCGACCTAAGTCTTTAAATTCTTTATTAGAGTTAAAAGAAAAATACCCCGACGCTAAAATAATTGTGGGAAACACCGAAGTAGGAGTTGAGGTTAAATTTAAACATTGCGAATACCCCGTTTTAATACAACCAACCAAAATTGAAGAGTTAACCAACATCAAAATCGAACAATCTGGTGTAAAAATAGGAGCGGCGGTTACGTTACAAGAAATGGAAACCGTTTTTAAACAACAAATCGAATTAAATCAAAACAAAACGAAAATTTTAAAATCCATAGTTGAAATGTTAAATTGGTTTGCTGGAAAACAAATAAGAAGTGTTGCCGCTGTCGGTGGTAACATTATGACAGGATCGCCGATTTCCGATTTGAATCCAATATTTCTCGCTGCAAATGCAGTTTTAGAAGTTGCTAGTAAAAAAAATGGGGTTAGAAAAATAATTATGAACGAGAAGTTTTTTACGGGATACCGAAGAAATGTTATCAAACCCGATGAGATTTTAGTTTCAATCTTGATACCATTTAACCTCCCCAACCAGCATTTTTACGCTTATAAACAAGCTAGAAGACGAGACGACGATATTGCAATAGTAAACGCGGCTTTTAACGTTTTCTTTGAAGGAAATACCAAGAAAATCAAAGATATTTATATGGCTTTTGGTGGTATGGCACCAACTACAGTTTTAGCTACGAAAACGCGAGAAAATTTAATCGGAAAAGAATGGAATAATGATTTTGTTGAAACGGGATTTAATAACCTCATCGAAGATCTACCTCTATCTCATGGAGCACCTGGTGGAATGATTCAGTTTAGAAGATCATTAACATTGAGTTTCTTTTTTAGAATGTACCTTCAAATTTCACACGATTTACAACTCCCAGTTGATCCGAAGGATATGAGCGCCTTAAAAACTTTCCATACAAAACAAATAAAATCATCTCAATACTTCCAAATTATTCCAAGCACCCAAGAAAAAATCGACAGCGTTGGAAGACCAATCGTTCATGCCTCAGCTTTTAAACAAGCGTGTGGCGAAGCTACTTATTGCGATGATATTCCCCACTTTGAAAATGAACTTTACTTAGCCTATGTTTACAGCACTAAAGCATACGCGGAAATAGTTTCAATTGATCCAACGGAAGCGTTACGTATGGATGGAGTCCACCATTTCTTCTCTGCAAATGATATGGTGGGGCTTCATAATAAAATGGGTCCCGTGATACATGATGAGGAAGTTTTTGTTAGTAAAACGGTGACCGCCCACGGACAAATTATTGCAGCAGTTCTTGCTGATAATCAAATGATTGCTCAAGCGGCAGCACGAAAAGTTAAAGTTGAATACAGAGAATTACAACCAGTACTTATAAGCATTGAGGATGCGATTAAACATAAATCATATTATAATGAAACACCTATTATGATAACATCTGGTGATATCGAAAAAGGTTTTAAAGAGGCTAAACATGTTGTTGAAGGTGATTGCAGAACTGGAGGGCAAGAACATTTTTATTTTGAAACTCAAGCCGTTATCGCTTTACCAAAGAAAGAAGACAACGAAATGGAAATTTATTGTTCCACTCAACATCCAACAGAACTATGTGCAACATTATCTGAGGTACTAAATATTCCACAAAACAAATTGACGTGTAAAGTAAAACGTATCGGGGGTGGTTTCGGTGGAAAAGAATCCAAAGCATGTAACATAGCGATACCAGTTTGCGTTGCAGCTTATAAAACTCAAAAACCGGTTCGTTTAATGCTGGATAGAGATGAAGATATGGTCAGTACAGCTGGACGACATCCATTCTACATGAAATATAAAGTTGGATTTGACGATAACGGAAAATTAATCGCAGCGGAATTCGAGTGTTATAGCAACGCGGGATGTTCTGCTGATTTATCAAGAGCGGTAAGATAATAATTAATTTTGAAAACACAATTCATAAATTTCATTATCTTTATATAGGTAATGGAACGAGCTGTTTTACACATTGAAAATTCATACAAAATACCAAACCTTAAAGTATCCGGATACTGCTGCAAAACCAATATTCACTCAAACACCGCATTTCGTGGATTCGGTGGACCACAAGGCATGTTCTGCACAGAAACGATGATTAGGGCCGTTGCTGAATATTTAAATAAAGATGTCATTGAAGTAGCGGAATTAAATCTTTTCAATGATGGTGATTTGACTCATTTCAACTACAAGTTAGATAATTGTACTGTGCGTAGATGTTGGAAGGAATGTTTAGAAAATTCGAATTATAATCAAAGAGCAATCGATGTTAAAACGTTTAACAAAGAGAATCGTTACAAAAAACGTGGAATAAGCGTTGTTCCAACGATGTTCGGGATAGCTTTCACTATTCCGTTTTTAAATCAAGGTGGGGCTCTTGTTAATATTTACACTGATGGTTCGGTCTTGATTACTCATGGAGGAATTGAAATGGGGCAAGGTCTTCATACGAAAATGTTACAAGTTGCATCTAGAGTTTTGGGTATTCCTGTTTCTAAGATACACATCACCGAAACTAGTACGGATAAAGTACCAAATACATCACCAACTGCTGCTAGTACAGGATCTGACATCAATGGAATGGCAGTTATGAGAGCTTGTGAAACTCTAATGGAACGGTTAAAACCAATCATCGCTGCTAACCCAAAAGATACTTGGGAAGAGTGGATCAAAAAGGCTTATTTATCTAGAATCAGTTTATCGAGTACAGGATTTTATGGGACTGATGGGATTGGTTATGATTGGAATACGAATTCCGGAAATATATTTAATTATGTCACTACGGGAGTTTGTTGTACCGAGGTCGAAGTTGATTGCTTAACCGGAGACCATCAAGTGTTACGTTCTGATATTGTTATGGATTTGGGTGAAAGTTTAAATCCTGCTATAGATATTGGACAAATTGAAGGAGCGTTTATGCAAGGTTATGGATTATTTGTTTTGGAGGAAGTTGTTTATTTATCAAATGGGGCACCGTTCACCAGAGGACCTGGAGCTTATAAGATACCAGGATTTGGTGATATTCCGGCAGAGTTTAATGTAGCACTACTTAAGGGAGCTTCAAATCCGAGAGCTGTATATTCATCAAAGGTAATTATATCTGATTAGTCAATATCTTAAATATATGATTCCAGATTAACTCTAGTTATACCTTAACCCTTTATTAATAATTCTTTATTAAAATTGCTCAAATCTATAGGATTTGAACAACTAACAAGATGTTTCAAAAAATATTTATTTATTATCCAAGTCCAAAAAAAAATAGACAGTTGAAAATAATAACAATTATGTTTGAAATTGTTGTACTTAGAAACTGAAATGCTAAAATTTAACTTGTTCATGATTCTAACATTTACGTTTGGGACAGTCGCACACTTTCCAAGAATAATAATCATTTATGCCCCGGAAATTAACGATACCTATATAAATTAAAATCTTACATCCTTCTGTTTTGACACCGCGATAAATTCACTGCGCTAGGTAATGCAAATTAGGCAAAAAACACCTCGCTATCATCTATGGTTTAATTTTAAAGTTTTCATACACATCATTTATTTTTTTAAACACTATTTCGATTTTTACTATAGTATATCACATAGTACTTTTTCTTCTATTGCTTCCAGTATATCTACATTCGTCAAGTAGTGTAGAGTATTTGTTGCTGTACGCAGAGATTTTGTTTTGTTTTCTCAAAATACACCGCTGTCACTCACTAGATAAGTCCAAACGGCTTTGTCCATTTTAATCATCTTTGGAGATTTCCATGTTCAAGAAGATGAGACATACTCTGGTTAATGTTGATTCATATTTTTGTGCAAAGCACATTATTTATGTTGCTAACATACCATGGCATTGACAATATTTCTTAAGACTTTATTTTGAAATCTTTGAATGCTTTCTATATGGCATCCGTATAACCATACGGATTTAAGAATATGCTTGAATGATATCGGTTAATTTGATTGTCTTCCAATTAGCTATATTGCCTGTATCTTATTTGCAGTTCTTCCACTTTTATCTTTATATGTACCGTATTATTGATTGTTATTTGTGGTCTATCAACTAATATTTACTTTGTAAAATAATATAAAGGGGCTTGCCTTCATTAATTTACAGTTTGTGGTCTAATGAATATTATCATCCACAGCCATATATCTCTGGTAAGTCTTCTTCTTCTTCTTCTTTCTTTTGGACCTGTTGATCTGTTAATTTTAAAATTATTTTTGGAGGCCCCCTGGAAGATAGATTGACAGCTGTCCGGCCATTTTTTTGGTAGTCTTCCCGTCGTAAACATAAGCCATAGATAACAGATAATATTAAGTTGCTGTTTAAACTGAGGAAGAAGGCATATTCTAAATATAGATCCCAGTCAAATGATAGCAATTTTAATTACTAAAACAATTGCGTAATTATGCAAATGGTGCCATTAGGAGGGAGAAAAGGGCATCCATTGATCACTTCTTTCAGGACAGACGTGTGCGAGGGATGTGGAGCACTTTTGCATCCATGGGTCACATCTGCACTGTAGATTCAATTAACAATTTGTTTCTGTCAACCCAAACATTTCATCATGGCAATGCAGATATGATTTCCAATCTTTACTCTAACGTCATAGCACAAGTAAGCGAATGTTTTCAGATTTCTTTTACAGATGAGAAAGAAATATGGAAGATCTTGAACGATATTCAACGCAATGCTATTGGTGCCCATGGGATCAGTCTTAAAATGTTACGTTTGTGCTGTCCTGTGATCTTGCCCTTTCTGTGTCATATTAAGTATTGAATTTTCGGTATTTCCTGAGCAGTGGAAGCTAGCTGTGGTTGCGCCGGTTGTGAAATCCAACACTCCCAAGGAACTGAATGATTTAAGACCCATAAACATTTTACCAAATTTATCTAAGATTTTTGAAAAGATTGTTTCTGTTCGTGTGGGGTCATTGTTACAGTTATTCAATATCTTGCCTCAACGGCAGTCAGGTTTTAGTTGCACTACTGCATTATTGGATGTTGTGGATGACATTATACGGGCACGTGATGATAGGTATGCTGCTGCTCTCATATTGTTGGACTTTTCTAAAGCCTTCGATACATTACAACATGCGACCTTACTTGCTTTGTTGCACCATGTTGGCTTCTCTGATGCTGCTGTGGGTCTGTTTAGACCCACAGCAGCTGTTCTTCATCTGTTCTTACCTGCTAGGTCGCGCACAAGTAGTCAGGTTTAACAATTTCGAATCTGAAAAACTTCAGATTCTCTCAGGGTTCAGTTTTGGGTCCGATTCTTTATTTAATTTACACTTACTGTCTTTGCATAGTTTTCAAATTAATTCTATTAATTCTGCACAAGAACAGTTTACCAACCCAAAAAAATCAGTTGTTCTATTGTTTGGTAATGATAACGTTATTGAATCAGTTGGAGATGATTTTAGTGTCGTCATTGATGGAAATAAGCTTAATGTTGTTAAGGAGGGACGTAACTTGGGCATTATCTTGGATAGCAGTTTGAGATTTAGAAGGCATGTCAGTTTGTTATTGCAACGAGCTTATTCTACTCTTAGGTTGTTATATAGTAACAGGCATCTGTTCAGTAGACAGATCAGAATTCATCTTTGTGAGACCCTTGTGTTGTGCCTATTTAATTTCGGTGATGTGTTCTATCATCCTTTTCTGGATGGTGCGGATGATTCTAGAATTCAAAGGACGCAAAATGCGTGTGTGCGGTCCAGTTATGGTTTGCGCAGGCTCAGTATCAATCATTTTCATATTGTATTGCTAATTTGGTTAATAAATATGTAGACGTGATGATTGATACTGGTGGAATGAGCGCTTTCACTTTTAAGAAGAGTTTAAAACATTTGCTACTTCTACAACAGAGGGAGTTCAGCTGAGGCGATCCAATTGAAACTTATATAAATTTAAATTGTTACACTCAGAAAAATAATTCTTTACGATTAAGAATTTTTACGTGACACCAAAGGATAAAGGGATATAGTTTTTATCCAAATGAATTTACTGTTCTTATTGAATCATTGCACCATTCAATTGTAAGTGTATCAAAGTACTTAACAAAAAAGCAAAACCGTTTAATACAAATAATTTTGCTTTAGAAATGAAAGACTAACGATAATATTAAATAACAAATGACTTTATCGTAACGTTACTAGTATTTACACTTAAAACTTAGTTAACTGAATTAAATAAAGAAATTTTTAAAGTTGATAAGTAGATAAATTAAAATTAAATGAAACACTATTTAATGTTAATATGAATTTTCATTTACTTCAAAGAAAAAATATTTTCAATTCGGAAGATTAACATTTTACCATTAATAATTCACTTTCTTTGTAGTAAATATGAAAGTTCCAAATATTAAGTACACTGAATTTAGATCAAAACCAAGTATCTATTATTATAGTAGTTGTTGGTTGTAGAATTAAATAAACATGCACTTGGTATTTAAATTGTTCAATTTATTTAAATCACAAGATTATATTTTAATTGTATAAATTAACAATACTTCATAAATTAATACATTTTTTTTAAACATAAACGGGATTGTAAAAACTGAAAATAAGTGGCTATGCACGAATAAAATATAGTAACCTCAATAACAAAAATAAATGGAAATTTAAATTACTTAAATTTTTTTTTGCAAGGCAAGTGTCTTCAATACATTAAGATAAAATATCGAAGCTCCTATTTATAAAACTAAAAAATATTTCACTCTTTGCTTTAAATAATGTAAATATAAAACGATAGTTTTGAAGCCACCTACCCCTTGCAAAGAAAACACTTCAACATTGTTAAGCTTTGAAATTAATGCGTTGACACAATTGAAATGTTGCAGTATATTATAAAAATATTCTATAAGAAACGACCACACTAATTTGTTTACCGGAGAAAACTGTAAATTAAAGACGTACACGAACTTAATTACAATGTCAATTTCTTTCTCCGATCCAATTACCACTACTCGGGGCTGCAATTTGATTTTGTTTTCCGCATAATCCGTCCGCGTAGTTTCCAATTTTTTAGCAACGTCATTAATTGTGTTGACAAACAAAACGCAGTCGTCTTGAAAGTCAACAATAGTTGATTTATAGTTTCGAGATAATCTTTGCGATTGTCTTTGAACAACCATAGTCTTTGGATTCTAAAAACAAACATCCACAAGTGTTGTACAAATAATTATTTCAATCTTACCTTTTGAGATTTCGCCATGCTGTAAGTTTTTAAATAATTCCTTACTATGTTTATCTTTTATATCGGATTTGAATATTTCAACAATTTTTGTTGTAAATTCAGAAAATGCGGGTATTAAATTATTATTGGGTTTATCCGAAAATAAAGTTAAAAAATCAATATGAACCTAGAAAAGAAAATTTAATTACAAAATAAAATAAATATTTTGAATGATAACATATAAGTTCGTAACCATTAGCGTCATTATGTCTAGGTCATACTTTTAATAATTCCGACAACGTCTCTGTAGAACTTCGAAAAGACTAGAGTCTGTATTCAGAAGTCCGCTTCCAATAATCTTTAATTGTGTCCCACACGGAGGGATCACAATTTACTATAAGAAACCCTATGTAGTCTCCTATGTTTTCAAGAAACGAGAGAAGATACACTTAAAAAAAATGCTTTTATAATCTCGAGCATTACCTTCTAGAAAAAGAGATTGTACGCTCTGTTTTGATTCAGATTGATTAGTTGTTTGGTTGAGTTTTCTACTTTGGAATTTTAAATTGTAGTATCCATCGTATGGTTTGGCTGAAGGTTTCCGTTTGTTGTTTCTGTTCGTGTAATAAGTAGTCTGTTGAAAACAAAAATTAAAGCTAGTAATAAAAACGTACTGCAGATTCAGACGAAAATGTTGTAGTAATTTAATAAATTAACGTGAATTAATTAACGAAATTTATTATTAATTAATAAATAAGTAATGATTTTTTTATGGTTGTTGATGACATCATGTAAGAAGAATTATGACGTAATGAGGGCGAGAAATATTTAATTACCATAGAAACTATCACTCAACGGACCTTGTCTTGACCAAGAAGAAAAAGTTTATATACATACCTTGAAAGTCTTCAATTAATTCAGCAAGATCCCATTCCATTAGTAAATTTGAAACTGTTATCGAACCCTGCATTAGGTTTACCTCCATTTTCTTTAAAACTCTTCTTTCTATTTAAAAAAAGTAATGCATATTTTATACACGTATTGCATGTTTGTAATTTTAAATCTGTATAATATCAATACTTGCACAAATAAAAGTGTATTAATTAACTATTGAACTTACCTTTGATAACTATTTGCACGCCTATTTCGTGTACAAGTACGCACAAGTTAAAACTAAGCATGGGGCTTAGTTACCAACCCTTGCTACCAACGAACTGAAGAAAATCGGCCGCTACATATCATACGATATCATGACGGCGAGAATCGACAAAAAACCTGGACAAATTCCTTTTCAACTAAAGAATATTTTTCTCGAAATCATTTAACTAACCATTTAATTTAAGTAGTAGTTGGATGGTATTGAAAAAGTGCACATAAATTTGGAAACAATACTAATTCTCCTTCCGAATAACTAAAATAGGTATATTTAAAATAAAAGATTATAAATTTTATATAATTTATATTTAATATTTGGAATTAAGAAAATTGCAGACTTAAAATGAAATGTATGTAGGCTTTAATCCCCTCTTACTATTTATTTCATTTAAGTGAATTTAAGAAAAATTAAATAACAGTATCAATTCGTTACTATAACCGCTAATATTTTTCTGAGTGTAGGTGTATAATTTTATTGTCTCAAATGTTGTACTACATTTGTTTTTTTGTATATCATGTTATTATATCAAGTACCTGCGTCCTGTTTCTCTTATGTATTATTATTATTTTTCTTGCATTTTTTCTTGTTTATTTTTTTCTTGTTTTTCAAAATTTTCAAGGGTCGATGAAAACCTTTTGAAGTTACGGTTATTTTTTATTTTTTTTAATTTTTATTTTATTGTATTTCCCTTATTTTGTGAGTTGTAATCTCTGTACGAGTTGTCCATAAATATTATTATTATTTTCTAACTGACTCCGTGGAACTCTGTAATATCTTATCAACAACACCCTTGAATCGATTATATTACACAAACTAATCCGATTTAGTAACTTTTTTTATGTGTATGTACCATATGAGAAATGTGACAAATTCTAAGTAAGTTTCACAACATTCTTTAAACCAGTTAGGCATTTATAGTAAATTCTTACGATAAATTCTTACTTGATAGAAATTAAATATAGGACTTGTACACGACCAGCTGTTTGCAAATAAATTCTAATAACACATATAAAAATATTGTAACAATAGTAACTATAACATGTTAATATACTTTAGGCTGTTGGAGAACCACCACTGTTCTTAGCAAGTTCAGCTTTATTTGCCGCACGAGAAGCCATTAAAGATGCAAGAAGAGATGCCGGTTGTTCAACAATACCTTTTAAATTAGACGCACCAGCCACAGCGGCAAAACTTCGCATGGCATGTCAAGACACAATAACAGCTAAGGTATATTTTATAAATAAATCAATCATAAATTTTTAATTTATTTTATACGTAATTAGTTCCAAGAACCCGTTGAAGGAACCTACACGCCATGGAATATTATTCCGTAATCAATAAATACTAAATTTTGGGTAAGTTTGTTTATTAGTTTTAATAAACGAATTAAAACTAAAAAAAATCAAACACTTTTTATAAGACGTTTCTACAAAATATATTTTTATAATGTACGTACGTTAACAATAAACGCATAATTAGCCGTAAACAAGAATTTAATTTATTTTAAACAAACCTAATCATGCTTAAACACCACCATATCTTCCTTTCCTCTTCAAATAGACTTGATATTAACCTATTATTTGAGCCTTTTTACCTTTATCACCTCTACGAAGAGGGATATAATCTTCTTCGATTTCATCCATTCCAGTATCTTCTGGCGGACCCGATTGTTGCACCTGATTCTGGTTATCATCTGTATGTTTGCTTTCAAAGAAATCTTCCATAATCGCTTCAGATTGTTTTGTTTGTTTCTTCTTTTTCTCGCATTTAATATCACAATAAGCTTCAAATTCTTTCAGTTTTACTTCAGCCGTATCCAAACGAGATAAGAAAATCATTGCAGCTGAAATTAATTTATTTTAATTAATGAAGGTTCGAATAAATAATTTTTATTACCTTCTAATTGAGTTTCTGTGTTTAAAAGATCTTGTCCAATATATCGAGCTATTAATTCCAAGTGGGGGTGTAACCCGGCTCTGTATTTCGCCGCTAAAATTCGCAACAAAACGATCGCTTGTTGACTAAGTTCGTTACCTTTTTGTAGCGCTTCTTTTTCGGCAATTTTATAAACGGTTACGAAGAGTTGTCTTAATTGTTTCTTAACGATCTTTTCTTCGTTTTCTTCATCTTCAAACTAAATTTTAAATCAATTAAATTTGAATAAAATTATTAAATTTTTAATAACACCTTATCAGCTCCCAAAATATTTATCATTTGGATTTCACCTTCTTCAACTTTTTCTAAAACCCTTAAAAAGCCATCTAATTTAATTGCGTTATTAATTCTTTTATTTATGATAGCTTCCACTAATTGTAAGAAATATCTCATAGTTTTTGGGCGTGATTTATATGCGACAAGGTATAGAAGAGTTCCTTGAGTTGTTGTTATCTTGTTGATCCACACCCTAGCCTAATAAATTAATAATTTTGCAAATATTGAATTGAGAAATTAAAAGAATAAGCTCACCTCTGTTATAGCAGCTAATAATCTACTCCTAATATCATCATCCTTTAAAGCATTACTTGCTTCATCAACCATAAATCCTAACGCTAATAAATAATCTAAAGGGGTTTCTCTTTCTGAGAAATCAATAATTGATTCTTCGTTGGTAAGCATCCCTTTGGTAAATTTAATTTTGTCCTGTTTATTCAAATTAAAACAAGCATCTCCGGATAAAGCGATATTATCCGGTCGAAATCCTCTCGCAAAACACGTTCCAATATCATCGGTTTTCACCGGATTATCTTCTTTGGCTCTCATCGCTTTCATTTTTTCCTCCCAAAAATGCGTTGAGCGATGTTTATCGGTTAAATCATCTGCGTATATGTTATCATGTTCGTCGACCTTTTCCACCACTTGATCCTGCAATGATTCGTCGCTATCTCTCCTGAGTATTTGGATCTGTTCGTGAAAAAACGTTTCGTCCTTCGAAAGACGAACGGCGATTTCATCTTCTTTTTCGAAAGACGTTAACAACTTATTAAAAACTTCTTTATCAGTTAATCCTTTATGAAGGTCTTCAGATACTTGTTTCTCCGCAGTGCTATCTTCTAAATCTTGAACATGATGACTTTGCGTTTCTTCAAAATTGTTTTGTTGTTCACCAATCGCTAACAACTCAGCATCGTTAAGAGTGATGTCATCTTCTATTGTTTCAACGTATTTTATTCTTGTTAAATATTTGTCATGAGCATTGTTAACAATTTCATTCATTATTGTGTCAATGAACGAAGCACACGAATGGACGGATAAGGTCTCTACAGGAAAGATATCCGAACGAACGTGAACCACTGGTATTGTCGAAATATTAACAGATCTCGGCCTCATTTCATGTGATAGCGAAATAGCGCTTTCTTCCTTTGCAACACCATACGATTTATGAAGAACAGTTAATGAATCAACAACATGAGTAACCGGCTTGGTTTCTTCTTGATTCTTTAGTTCCTCAGGAAAAGGTGCTAATTTTATACTTGATGTATCATGCTGTATCAACTCTTCTTGGATTTGAGTATTTTCATAATTACTCGATTTTAGAATCGATGTTATCGGTTTTTCTTCAATTTTTTCGGATTCAACTGCTGTTAATGTTTCAAGTTTTGAATCGCTTATTGCAATATTTCTCGGCGGTAATAGTTCTATGATATCACTCTCTTTGTTGGGTTCGTGAGGTTTCGCTTCATACGCTGCTTTATACATCGACTCTAAAACTGGATCTTGCTTGATTTGTGTGTGTACTGTTCGCGATGGTTTGGATTTGACGTTATGTTGTAGTATCTCTGAAGAATCTCGATGCACCACTTTTTCAGGATGATTATTAACTTTTTTTATTGATAAGTCTTTTTCCGATTCAACACTTTTAATTGATTGGTAATCATCTCGTTCGCGTGGGTATACTTTTTTAAACGTAGATGGAGTTTGAGTTTTTCTGTTATCCATTGAACTTCCTTCTTTAGATGTTGATGGGGCTGTTGAGGAAGAGATTGCTGGAGTGAAGGTTTTAGTTAACGGTAAGTTTTTATTCGTGGATAAATTTTTACTTCCTTTCTCGGTTGGTAAAGAATATAAATGAGAATTTGTTCTCATTGAATCCTCCCCACGAATTTTAAGAGGTTTTTTATGGGGTGTCACAATTCTTCGTCTTCCTAAAGACGAAGCCCGTTTCGTTTTGGGCTGTATCGGTAATGATACTGTATCTTCAACAGGAATACTATCATTACTTGATTGATCAATGTTTGGTTTTGATGCTTGAACTTTGCCATCATGGGAAGTTTGTGATCGCTTTTCAAAATGTTTAATTTTTGGATGTTGTGGTAATGATGTATCTTCAAAAGATGGGGATGTACTACCACTACTCGATCGCCCATCGACGTTTCGCTTAGATGGTGATTCTGATTTAACTCGACTCTCACGGATGACATGGGATTGTTTTTTAAAGGGATGTCTTTTTCGACTATGTCTTCCTAAAGACATTGAACGTTTAGTTTTGGGGTGTAATGATGAATGTTGATCTTTCAATATATTTTCTTTTGATTCTGAATGTTGATCATCACTTATAAAGTCATACTTCTTTTTATCACGTCTTCCTAAAGACATTAAACGTTTAGTTTTTGGGTGTAATGATGAATCTTCAATAGGTTGTTGATCCGTTAATATGTTTTCTGCATCTTGATCATCACATATACATTCATACTTTCTTTTATCACGTCTTCCTAAAGAGAATGATCGTTTAGCTTTAGCAGGATGCATTGAATCATTTACATCCACAATTTGTGTTTCTCCCCGTCGTTTTTTAATTCTTTCCTTTGACATAGGCCCAGTTCCTTTTGTTTTATGGAAAGGTTTGACGTCCATGTACGTTTCTTTGGTGCGTTTCCTAGCTTCGATTTCTTTTTGAATTTCTTCGACGGGTTCCGTTCCTCTATTTCGATAAGATCCATGTTCTATTTGCGTTTCCGCGACTTTTTTCTTTTTAAAACAAGGTATTTTCAAAAATGGTTCTATCCCTCTACAATTTACATCCATCCTAGCATTTTTATTATTCTTCTTCGTCATCTTCTGATTTGGCACAGATTCCTCATCGCTAAATTGATTTTCAGTGATATCATCTTCAGTTTGAAACCCATCCTCAGGACTTGATTTGTACGATTCTATGCCATGGGTAGTAATGGTACTGGAATTAGGCAAATCATAATCATCATCATCGCAGTGACATCCTAACACAGGCGAATGTTTCCTTCTAAACGAATTTTCTTTAATCGAAATCAGTTTTTTGCAAGCGACCTTTTTATCGCCACTTCTTTTTCGACTATCCCTCCCTTCATCATCATCATCATCATGATCATTATGAGATTTCTTCATTCTGAATTTACATACATCATGGCAAGATCCCCTTTGATTTAATCGTTTTGCTTGGACAGATTTTGTTGGAGACTTTTCATTTCTCATTCTTGTTTTTGAAGATTGAAAAACGATCTTATCGTCAACAAAGGTGACAAATGGTTGCATATCTTGTAAAATATGATCTGATTCGTAATAAGGGTACCTTGGTGTTTCAGGATTACTACTAGATTTTTGCGAAGTAATCGAATTCATCTGGATGATTGTTGGTGATCCCTTTCTGTTGTAAGAAAAAGGAACTTTTCTCCCGATGAGGAGCTCAAGGGGGATCTCCTCAAAATCTTTATAATCTTTTTGATAACCATCCTTTTTCATTTGAGATTCCTGCACAACTTTTTCGGCGTATTCGTGACACGCACACATTTGTTTCTCGTAGAGTCTCGCGGAACATTTTTTATTGACCGTAGTTGTTGTGCTTTTATCGGTGGTGTTTTCTTGTGAGGATTGAATTGGCCCCAAAAATGTTGTTTTGATTTTCGGGGATTGCTTATTTTTTGCAAAGGTGGACCATAATATTTTTGTATTTGAAGTTGTTGTGGTGTCGTCATCTTGCGAAGATGAAGCTAATGAGACATCTTGATTTTCATGGTTTTTTGAATACAAAGTTGAGAAACTTATTAGGTTTGTATTGCTACATTTTTCTTTGATCGTTATTGGGTTAGGGGAAGAATTCTTTAATTTTGTTGTGTTGCGAAAAATATCTAACAAACTACCACCTTTCTTAAAAAAATTCTTAATTGAAGCAGCCGGTTTGGCTCTATTACTGGTTTCATAGCCACTTTCGGAGATTAAAGTATTTGAGCCATCATCGTTAGAACTACTTTGCGGTTTACTACTAGAAATCGTTTCTATTTTTAAATGAATTTGATCTGGTTTTTCAGATTTACGATTTGGACTCTTTCTTTTAGGAGAACTTGATTTGCTGTAACTTTTATGGCTATTTCTGCTACTTGATCTTCTTGGTAACATTTTATTTTGGGATTTAAGTGGATTCGAATCATAATTCACTCTGCTCGTATAAACAAAAAAGTTTTGTTTGGGCGCAAGTAAATTACTGTGGAGCAGTTCCATCGTATAATTCAAAGCTTCGTCTGCAGGAGAACAAGCTGATTCTAAACTATCCGCACTAAAATTTCCCATATCTTCCTCCACTTCCTTTTTATTTCTTTGTTGCTCAATTGAGTCCAAAAAATCGAATTCGGAACTACTCGATTGACGATTATGTATATAAAATGGACGATTAACTATGTTATTACCTCTTGCTACGTTTATATTTCCTCCCGGAAATAGCAAATCGTAACAATTAGTTTCGTTAATTTTCATCTTTGGGTTATTTTGTTCTCCAATATAATTTTGTTGTAAATTTTGTTCGACTCTTGTGTAAAGTTTTGAAGATGGATTGGATGACATAACTGAATCTAGCGAAAGAACGAAAACTTGTTGCGTTCCGAGTCGAAAACTTTTTCCTTTTCCACCTTTTATTAAATCGTTTTTTAACTTCTGAATAATCGCCCTCCGATTCATAGTTTTATTGGAAGATAACTCCACCAAAGATTTCGACGTGGATAATTGAGTGGTTAAAACTTGAGTCGTAGTTAAACTCTTCGATTTCGTTTTAAACATAAACTCGTTTTTTGAAGCAGATAAAGACGGAGTGCTTATTGAGTAAAGCGGGCTTCCAATGCTCCAGTTATCTCGAATATCATCAGAACGTAAATTGTGAAAATTAAAATTACTTCTTCGATGCCTCCTCCCTTTTAAGTTCCATTTTGGAGGTAGTGGTTTTCGATCCTTTTTATGTTGTAATTCCATAAATTTTTCAACTTTAGAAGAGCTAGAGCTAGTATCTGTATAAGGATAAGGAGTTGAAGGCTCAAAAAACTCAACATTTCTCGAACTACTCCTCCCTGACGAAGCAAACAAACTATATCTACTCCTATTTCTTCGTTCACCCTCTCTTTTAGGAAACTTGAAGTGGTTCTCATAAAGATATTTATTCATTGGAAACTTCATGTTTCGATATCTTTGGGACGATCGCGTCACAACATTATTATTGTCTGTTTCCATTACGTTATATTCAGTTATTGTGTCAACTGTTGTTGCTAAAGTGTCTTGAGATGCATAATATGTTTTATTACGACACTTTTCCTGCGACATCTTGGGCCGGGGATTACGTTGGTCCATATGAGCCCTTATTGCTTTACAAACTGTGGGGTATAAGCCGAGAACTTGCTCTAAATGCCGCTCAAGTCTTAATAGGTTAACATAATCAACTTCTACAGATTTATTATTACGTTTTGAAAAATCTTTGTTATTCCGAAAATATTTCGTGCTCATTTTAGAACCCGACAAAGAATCACAACTTCTTCTCCGATGATGGTGTCGCGGGCAACTATGGCTGAAAAAAGTATGGGAAGAAACCTTTGGGGTAACATTATTGCAAAAAGTTTTTTTATTTTCAACATTTTTAGGAATTCCCGCGCTGGTTTGTAACGATTTATTTTCAACCACCTTTTTATTCAAACATTCGTTTTCTTTATCATTCTTATTTAACTCTTCTGTTTCACTTTTGCAGTTACCATCATCCGTTAATGTGCACTGAATCGATTTTTCCTCAATCATTTTTTTTGGGATATCATCGTCTCCATACAAAGCTGCTTCTTCCCTTAATTTCACCTTCTCAGTTTCGCAAAGAGAGACAATTAAACTTGAAAAATCTGATATTGAAGTACTCGATTTGATTTCTGGTTTATGATCCGTTGAGATGCCTTTATCGATCTTTTCCGGGGCTGCGTTATGTATACTTTTTGAGGCTCTTAAGTTGCACAAAAAATCTCTTGTTGGTGAATTAGATTGATAAATTTGATATGGCCGAATATGTTCAGCCGAAAATGTTCTTTTTTGTTGTGATACTTGTTTAGATTTTAAAACACCAGATCCATTAGAAATCAAAGCACAAGTGTCGCAAGAAGTTGATGGTGAGTACTCAGCAATTTTTGTCGATGAAGAATTTACATCGTGTTTAGATGATAACTTTTTTAAAGTGTTAAATTTAGGTTTAACATTTTTAACCATGTTCTTGAATTGTTCGCAACAACTCGAAGTTTCCGTAGTTGATACATTATCATTTTTAATTTCTAAGTTAGTGACGATATCGCGAGGGTCTTGAAGACAATCAACAACGTTCTTGCGAGCTTCTTTGCGTTTATCAAACGCTTCATAAAAGAAATTAATAACTTCCTTCATTCTTTCTAAATCGCTGATGACTAATTCGGTTTGAGTTTGTTTGATGTCGGTTAAAGAAACTTTTTCTTTCTTCTCCGTTTTTTGTACCGAGCTATCGGTTGATTGACTTTCTTCTTTAATAATTTGCAAAGACGATTCCATCATTTTTACTGCGCTGTTAATTCGGCTCAAACTTCTGATATCTTGAAGTCTTGAAGTCGCAACCGTTTTTGTTTTTGGTTGAGTTTTTTTAACAGGTTCAATAATGGCTTTAACTATATTCTTGTGGGGTGGTTTATCCGCAGAAGAACTAGCATCTAAGAATAGGTTACTTAAAGATTTTCCGATTTGGTTGAAACTTTCGGATTTCTTGAATAATTTAGCATCGCATATTTTCCTAACTGTTTTGCTTTTCTTTTTTATTGATTCAAAAGGGATCAATTTTTTCTTAGTTTTAACTTGAATTGGATTTTTCGGTGCATTCCCATTCTTCTTTGATTTTTCTAATGAATCAGCTGTTATGGTACTTTCAGATTGCTCCGGAGACTTTGGTAATTCTTTTGTAACTTCTTCCGGGTGACCAAAGACTCCTTTGGGATGTATTTCTAAGTTAATAATTTGGGTGGGTGGGAAAAATATTGCGCGCAATTTATTCGTGATTGTGTTCTTCACCGTTTTTATTTTAACGTATTTTAACTTTTTTGGCGGTTCAACCGCCGAAACAATGTAACCTTCAATAACATTTCCATAATTATCGATAACTTTATTACATATTTCGGTAATTTTTTCACCAAGGATCATATGAACACATTGAAGTTTCTTGTTCTCAGTTTCAGTTTGCTCCGACATCATATCCGAGTAAATAGTAGATCTTGAAATATTTCTTGCTTCGCTTCTTGAGGTTACGTTATATACTTCAATTTTAGGTGATTTATAAAATTCCCTTGAAGGCATAACGTTTAATTGCGATAAACTAACTTCTCTTCTTGGAGAAATTTTCTTGATAAATCTCGTTCCCTCCTCTGGATGACATGGAGCATCTTCAGGAGATACCGAAACACGAGAACGTAATCTCTTAAAAGCTGGGTTTAATTTTATCCCCCCGGAAATATCACTGCTGGTTATAGTAGTTGACGAAACAGTATCATTTTGAAAAATAGGCAACTTCAAAATGGCTTCTTGCTCCTCTTTCGATGGTAATCGAGGTTTTAATCGATTATTGCCAGTTACTCCTTTAATTGGTTCATTTTTGAAATTCCGTTTTCGAAAATCGTTTTGTTGGATCATGTGAAGTTTAATTAATTCTTGCTGAAGGTGTTCTCTTGACTCAATCGTCGCTAAGGTAGTTTTGTCAATTTCGCTTGGAGGTTCTTCTTTAGTTACCACCGATTTAGATCTTTTTTTATTTGGGCTAGGTATGTTAAGTTGGGTTTCAGATGTTATTCTGCTACTTAAAAAGGGTGATTTTTCTGTTGGTCCCATAAAATCTTCTTCAATTCCAGTTACATACTTTGATGGTACGCAAGATTTGGAGCGTTTCTTTAATGGTTTTAAACGTTCTGGTATCACAGAATGCGGGGTGGTATTTTTTCTGGAAAATCTTTCGGCAACTTGCGGAGGAAGAAAATATCCCATATAAGGACTACTAACTCCAACATATTGAGTCGTGGTTGATATTAATGGTTGAAGAGATGTTTGCACTGAAACCGTATTCTCCTGAAATTGTGTTGCATTTGAATATTTTGGCGCTTCAATTTCAGCATATCTTTTAACTTGATCAATTGATGATTTAGTTCTTTTCTTGTTAACATCCTTCTTAGGTGTTTTGGTAGTAACAGAATCATTTGATTCAATCACAATCAAATTAGGATTATTATAAAGCAAATTAGGAAAATGGTTGATTTCACCTTCTTCGATATACGCCTCTGACAAAAATATATCATTGTTATCTTGTAATGTTTCTGCCGATTCTTTTGCAAATTTTTTCGAAGAAGATAACTCACTAAATTGTACTTTTTGTTCTACATTCGATTTTTTGTTGCGTTCACGACTTTGATGCGAATATGAAAAGTTTTTTGAATCCTTCGTGATTTCTTTGCGAGTAGCTTTACTTTTTTTGTCCTTTTCAAGTAATTCTTTTTTATGATTAGAAAGCGACCCCGTTCTACTCGTACTTTTTTCAATGTTACCATTACTTTGATCGTAATTTTTGGAGTAAAGTGGTGATGATTTTCGGCTTTTGTGATAGGGGTCTTTCTTCTTTAAGTTTTTTGAATTCGTTTCAGGTTTCTCGTTCAATTTGATTTGATCGGAAGTGGTGCATTCCGGTTTGGCACATTTCGATTTTTTTTCGTCTTTTTTATCTTTCTCCTTCTTACTTTTGTCTTTTACCACAGCTTTTTCGATTTTTTCCGGTGATTTGCTTCTATGTTTGTTCGACTTTTTATCACTGTCTTTCTTCTTCTCAGACTTTTTCTTGTACAACACTTCCACCTTCTCAGTATCTTTTAATTTTTCTTCTTTGCACGGCACAAAATCGCAATTCAAATTGATTGCTTCTTGTCGCATTTGAGTCGCAGCTACATTTTCAACAAAATCAGATTTATGCTTCTTCTTATGTTTTCCTTTTGTTTTAGACTCTTTTTCAATTTTCGATATTATTGATGGTTCCTCAGGTTGTGGAGAATTATCATGTCTTTTCTCTTTTCTTTTGATGGTACCTAAGGAACCAAAAGATCCTTCTGGTTTCAACTTTATAGGAATAGAACTCTCAGTGTCTTCTAAACTAGACATAGTTGGGTATTCCCCTTCGATTTTATTAACAAAAATATGTCCCAGTCTTGCATCTTGCTTCTCAAAAACAATCGTGGCATTTTCTTTCGGTCTTTTATTTTTTTTCTTCTTTTTTGCTGCCTCCGAATTTTTTGGTAAATCAACAAAATACATTGTTCTTGCTTGGACGATATCCACAAATTTCAAAGGCACCTGCTCTAAGGTAGTGTTGATTGGATTAGTTACTGATGATTCTGGAATTGACGATTCAGGTTGATTACGTCCAATTTCTTCGGATGATGACGATTTTTGTTTTCGCTCGATAGATTTTGTTGTGGGAGATCGACCTTTAGACCGTCTTTTACGAGAAACGCTTCGACTCTTTTTAACATTAACCGTTTGATTGTTCATTTCTTGTTGTCTCAATTTAAAAAAATCATCCAATTGTTTCTGCCTTGGATCTTTAGAATCCCCAATAAAAACAGGTGATTTAGGTCTATCTTCTCTAGTTCTCGTTATGATCGGTTTGCAATAATCTTCATCGACTCCTTTTACAAGAGTTGCCAAATACAACACACCACTTTTATTGTGTTCGTTTCCGCTTAATGTTTTACGAAAAACACCAGTTTTCGGTGACGAATCTCTCGTTTCCGCCAACGTGGAAATCGTTGACTTTTCTTTTTCCCTTCTAGAAACAATATCTAACTCGCAAAAGTTTTGTGATGTTTTCGACGATTCTTCGCCTCCGGTTGGCGATTGTTGCCCGATAACCGCACTAGTAATTTGAACTGACGATTCGCTCGATTTAAAAACGTTACTATTATGCGCGTGATAAAGTGTTGTTACTGTGCTGGGGAGCTTCCCGATGAGGGAGGTAGAATCCCTCTCGAAATTACCTTCCATAGATTAGTGCACATCTGACGGCTGCTACGGACCGTTTCAATCTCGAAACTTTTCTATTTATCGACGAGTTTTATGCCCCAATTACATTAATTTACTTTCTCTTCACAGAAATTTCACATAAAAATTATGCTAAGTGGAACTTTTCATACTGCCATTTCACGTTAGTATTGTTTGTTAAATTTGAAGTATGTCAAAGTCAAGGATATTTAGATTGATAGCTCCGTCATAAACAAAATTTAATGATATAGTAATGTATACAGTTTGCTTTGGATATTAGTGTTGTTGATTCCTAACTTATCCATGCCTATGATGGTACACGGAATGCCAAAAATTATGAAATTGCGGAAGCATTTAATTAGTACATGCTGCTAAAATTGTACTTCAAACCCGATGAACACTGTTCGAGTTTATAAGATATTTTTTCTTTGTAAAGTTTGGAACATTCTTCTATTGTGGGACATTTTCTTTCTTGATTAAAATAAAGTTTTCAGAAACAAGTATTTTACAATGACAACAATTAAAGATCTTTTCATTACTCGACCTTTAGAAAACATCTGGAAGCTTGCAATTCCTAAACGCACCAGCGGCAACTTGAAAATATATTTGCAAAAATTAGCTGCTATTTGGCGCAATTTCTGAAAACTCATTCTCAGCGAACTACTTACCGCGTTCAAAACACTAACACAGTGCTTTTAATGAACAGTCTATTTACGGTAGTATTTTGGTGTTCTTGACTTTATTGTCACCTTCTGCGAATATGTCTTCCTACATTCGACGGATTGTACGCGAATTAAATTCGTTTCGTTATTATGATTTACAACAATCCCGATCTTTTCGATGTCAAGAAGTTTAGCTATCTAAAAATGAGTATAGTGAGGCTTAGCTGGTAAGAGCTTTTGATCATATGATAAACATATAATAAAATATATAACATATAATAATAGCCGATTTTTCCACTGACTTCAATCGTTTAGTCGCGAAAGAAACAGGGAACTCTGGAGTCGTTGGGTGGTTCATGGAACTATACATAGATTTTCCTTGTCGTGCGAAGATTCGATTCAGGGGACAACGTTCGGCTCAATGACATTCTTGCGACTTTTTGGTGACTCTATTTGGACTCTTGAGAATAAACATTATAATAAGCTTAAGAACTAGTATTAATCCGAAATTACGAAACTTTATCTGTAAAACTCGAAACACATCTCTACCAACTACTTTCACTCAGGTACTTTCTTCTCACGTAAAATTATTATTATTGCGTGCGTTAACAGATCAGGATTCGGAGGTATCACTTATCAGTGAGGATTTGTTTTGCTTAAACTGTTTTTCTGTTTCTAACACCATCTTCCGACGCAACAGCAAGTATTATAGCTAAACAGCCTGCTTTATCAGATTACACATGTTTGTATAAAATTGTGTATAGTGTATAGATAACCTTGTTTGCACAATAATCTGTTGTGCAACATCAATTTGCCAATTTGTTTGCAGGTGTATGGGGCCTATAACTCTTAACAACGCCAAAAATTGTACAAGCTTTTCGAATTCTTTCCTTTTACGCCAACTTAATAACAACACATTTAAATTTCGCTGTATAGAAGAATATCGCAGATTTTCGCTGCCTTTTCTCCATAATTACGCTGTTATACATATGCATAATTAACCACACATCACGTTTGAACTACTACAACCTGAATTTCTGTTAGGCATTAATTATACCGTCTACTCTACAGCCTCTATAGGTCGTACACTGGTATCGTTAAGTCCATCGGCGCATCGGGCATCGCGTTGTTTAGGTGCCGTCGGATTGCATAAAAAAAGATGCGGATTACATTCGTAAACTAACATTTTTACCACCATGCATTCTTAAAATTAGGGCGTAGATTAGTTTCGTGAAAATTCGGTATGTATAATATAAATATACCTGTGATGAACCTTCTACAAGCACATGACAAACATAATAAACTCAACAACTGAGCATGGCACTTAGGATAAGGCAGTATAAAAAAGAATTTACAAGCCCTTTTAGATTCTACTATCCTTAGTTTCGCCATAAAATCACCCATTTATCTATAAAAAAAGTTAAAGGATTTTTCCAGATGGTTCCAGTTAGTGATGGAACAGATAGTGATTTTGCAAAAAGTCGGATACCGGCATATCTATCCGGCCAATATGGTTATAATTTCTAGTGCATTTCTGAAGTGATACCACATCATAGCGATATTTGAATAAAAATGAAATTAATAAGAAAGTTGATAAGATATGTCAATTTATTTGGATCCAAGATACAAAATGAACTTTTTTGATGCTTATTTAACTAACAAAGCAACTCTAAAAAAGGATACTTTAATTAATAATTGGCGATATTTCCACAACTATCCTTCAAGAAATGAATTTTATAGCGAATTTTAAAAGTTATCGATGAAAATTGCAACATCAAAAATGTTATCAAAACTTCAAATATTGTTTTTTCAAAAACTAAAAGCTATTTTTCAAAACGGGTTGGTTCATTGGAAAGAAGACCCTTTTATTAACACTTTGGGAAATTTTCATACTCATATTCCAAGAACTGGATTTTATACGAATTTTTAAAACTTAATCGGTGAAAATTGCAAAATTCGAAAAAATTGTCGAACATTTCAAAAATTTATTTCTCAAGAACTGAAACTGATTTTTCAAAACGGTTTTTTTGCATTAAAAAGAGGATACTTTAATCAATAATTGAAGCGACAGTTCTGTTAATAATGAATGTGATGATGAATTATAAGCGAAGAGAAGAAAGCTAGACGAAACTGCAACAAGAGATTTTATATATCGTATTGGGATTGTTACAAAGAGATAATACAATCTGACGTTTTCAAAATTATTAAAATACGAAAGTTTCATTTTTGTTCTAAAAAAAGGTTAAATTGTATAATGAAAGAAATAAACTGGTGTAAAACAACCTTGTTTACTATAAAAGTAAATAATAATAATAAACTAGTTATTTTTGATACAAGATAGCGAAATGACACTTTTGCATTGGAGAACGAAAGTTAATATCATCTTGCTGTTCCATAAAATTTAAGAGTTTCAGCACCTGCTAGTGCTTCCTTGCAGCTGACTTTGGATCTAAGATGCCATCGTCACTACATTCTTGGAGTGAACTCGATTTAGAGATTGGTTTGGTAACACCATCGACTAGATCATCGTCGTTCATATGTTCACAGTCCAAAATATTCCAGTCAATATGTAACCATTCCAGAATACTTTCATCATCCAATTCTTCACAGCCCTGAACATTTTTTAACGACTGAAACACATCTAAAGGTTCATCACTATCAATTTCATGTCCTTCAGGTGATCATGGCATAAAATATTGTTAAAACATTTTTTAATTGTGGTCAAGGACAGTAGAATCTAACAGGACTGCTACATCCATTGTATTTTTGTAATCCACTACGGGTTGGTTGCCCGCACTCTACGTCACACTATTTGCCACGCCTGGTAACTGTCTGTGTTTTTAGAGGCTATATGATAGACATTAATACGTCTAAAAACATAAAACTTCAAAAATAATATGAATATGTCTAGCATATAACCTCTAAAAATACACAGTAAACGCATAGACCATAACAACAGCTGGGCGTGGAAAATGGTGTGACATAGTTTGCGGGCAGGTTGTCACAACAATGGATGTAGCAGTCCTGTTAGATTCTACTGTCCTTGAATTGTGGTAGCTTTTACATTTTCCCAGGCATACGATATGTTGTATACAGCATGTATGTGTTGTTTGTTTTTTTGTCATTTTTTCAATTACGCCCCGATCTATGGGTTGAATTAGGACGATCACATTTGGCGGAAGATACAAAACTGTGATATTCCCGTTCTCAGCTGACAACGCTTCAACTAGGGGATGAGATGGCGCATTATCAAGAAGCAATACTGCTTTTTGATGGAGACCTTTGCCGTCCATACATTTTTTTACGTGTAGAACAAATTTATTTTTAAACCACATATCAAAAATGTCTAGTTCGAAAAGAAATTAGCCGTGGAGAAGTACGTATAAAATTTCCGCCCAAAGCCGGATATTTGGTAGCTATCCGGTATCCGGCCAGAATGTAAAAAGTGGCCGGATATCCGCTCCACCGCTAATATGTATGCACATGACAAACATAACGACAGCTGACTTTTAAATTCTATCCTTAGTTTCGCCATAAAATCACCCATTTATCTATAAATAAGTCAAAGGTTTTTTCCAGATGGTACCAGTTAACTTGTTCTTCAAAATAGAAAGCAAAGTTCACAATTGGACAAAATTAGTACCATATTTAAGACACATTCTCTCCCAAACATATATTTTTGGAACAATAACATCAACCCAGACCATAAATTAGAAACTGATTTTTTCAAAATATAAAAACTTGGTTTGGAGATGTCAAAAATATAAACATCATTAAAAAGTATGTTAGGAAGAGAAACAGGATTTGAATATTGATGGTAATTAAAATGAATGATTTGTAATTCGTAAATATTATATAATTACAAACTTTTATACATGTTTAGGTGTATAAACATAAATAACACTAACCAAATGAAAAAAGAAATGACCTAATTGTAATTAGAATCATTTAAAAATCTATAAGGGAATATGTTGGAGTAAAGAATTAGCTTGGCAAAGATTTGAGCGCTGAAAAACCAGAAGAATTATATACATATTTATATGCAAGGATTTATACAGATTCTTTTTGAAGGAAAAAAATGCGGCCATTTTTATTACGATTATATACAAAAAAACGGGAGATAGAAAAATAATATTTGGATTAATATTAGGCACCTACTAAATAATTAAATAATACATACATATTATGAAGAATAAACAACTAATAGTTTCTATGACGACAAACGTATTTTCAAATCAGTAGTAGAAGCAACAGGATAAGTGCTAGATCTTAGTGTGATGCCTGTTTGTTCTATCTATTGTTTCACTATTTGAATTCTCTGATCCCGAACTAGCATCCCCTGAAGTAAAAAATATAAAATAAAATAAAAAATTAATTACAAATATTTCGTCTTTAAAAAAAAACAATACCTTTATTTCTACCATTAATTCTTCCACCACCCACACTTGGTCTTTTATACTCCCTCCTATCGTTTCTATATGGGCTGTATGGTCTACCGTGTCTGGGGGGTGGTGAAACTGGTCCATAACGATCGTCTTCGTCGTACGGGGGTGGACTCGGACTGTTGTTCCTGTCGTCGTACCGATCGCTGTATCTCGAAGAGTCTGGTGAGTACCTAGAATTAAGCGGAGGGGATGACATGCGACCCAACGGAGGTGGTCTATGGTCTACTGGGAACATGGATGGTGGCGGCGGCATAAAACCAGGTACACCGGGGATTGGAGGTGGCATAAATGGTGGTACGCCGGGTGGTGGTGGAGGCAGGAACGGCGGTAAACCGGGAGGCAGTGGACCAGGAGATGTCGTAAGATGGTGGTCATGGGGGGTCGTATAAAGCAGAGGGGGGGAAGCTGGAGACTCAATAATTTCGCCGTTTTGTTCTAAAGGAGATTGGACACCTAAAACCATAAAATAAAATAGAACAATAATTTAATTGACGAAGTTTTCTTACGATGTTGTCCTTTATCTTCGGTAAAACTGCGTTCTTTTAATGTAAGTCTATTTCGTAGCTGCGCTGCTTCTTGTTTTGCATCTTCAAGTCTTCGTTCAGCCTGTCGAGCTGAAAGCCAGCTTTCATGAGCTTTCTTTTCCAAAACGGAAATTTGACTCTTCAACTCGACCTCCTGAGAAACGATTTCTTGTTTCAGCAATTCGTTTTGACTCCTATAACAAAATAAAGAATACATTAAATAGAATCAATTTTTGTTTAAAAAAATTTACTTGTAATTTTGTAATTCTTCCTTGATATATCGTATTCGTTCAGTCGAAGATGTGGCCTCACCCTGTTTTTCTTGCCAAAGAGCTTCTTGTTTTGCTAATTCCCTATAAATAAAAGATTAATTTCGTTCTAAATTAAAATGAAATATTTACTTTTGCAATTCTGCTTCTCTTTCTTTAAAATAATTTCCTAAAACTTCCAATTTAGTTTGAGCTTCCAATTTTTCTTTGTCCACTTCGTCGTATTTTTCTTTACAAAGATTCATTTCCTTTAATATATCTTGGGCGCGTTCCTCCAATGAAACTTTAATTTGCCTTTCTTGAACCAATAATTGGTTTAGATTGTTATTTTCTTTTTGTAACTCGGCGAGTTCAGCTTTAGAGGTAACTGATTGTAATAAATCTTTCATTACTTCTTGGTTATTCTTAATGGATTTGATTTGATTGAAATTTTCTTTTAAAATATTATATTCACTCGATTTTAAATCGAAAGATTTTTGTAATTCTGCTAAACGTTTTTTATAACTATTTATTTCTTCGGTTAATTTGTTTTTATTCCCACCAAAAGATATTTTTGTATTATTTAATTCTTCTTTCATTTTTTGGAGTTCAATTTCAAGCTTCGACTGCATTTGATCTTTTTCTTCTTCAACTTTCAATAAACTCAAAGCCATTTTATCTAATTCAGCTTGCAAATCGATTACCTTTTTATTTTTTATTTCCAATTCTAATTGTAACTCATGATTTTCGGTATCCTTTAGGTTTAAAGTCGCGTTAATTGAATTAATCGTTCCTTGTTGCTCGACCAATTGTCTCTGTAAATTTTCGATATTCGCAACTAACATATCACTCCCGCTTTGCGATTTTAATATCTCCGATAACATTCTATTTAATTCAAATCCAACTTCCGTTGAATTTTCCAACTCTTTTTCTAAACTTTGCACCTGATCTTCAAGTATTGTCTTAGCAGCCATCAATTGTCGATTACAATCTTCTAATTCCGTATAAATTTTCGATGTAACCACATCTTGTTCTTTAGATTCACTTTCAGATTCCGCTACTTGTTCCTTTAAAATCTGATTTTCTTTTGTAGAAATGAGAAGCGCTTTTTCTAGTTTGTTAATTTTAGCCACCAACGGTGTTTCCCGGCGGCTTTTATCAATAGCAATGTAACCAAGTAAAAATATCACGATACTTATTCCAGTTATTCCTAATACTGTAATCAAGTTTAAGATATCGGAGAAATTTATACTGCTAAAATCCATATCTAATTGATTTTGAATGGTACCCAAAAAGTTTGAACAATCATCCGCGTTAGTAGAACAAGAATCTGTAAAGTGAAAACGGAAAATAAACAACACCTGCTGGTTTATAAGGTGAGTTAAACTGCACTGTAACTGTGTGAAATGATAAAGAGGGAGAGAAATATAATTAAAACGGTGTTTAACACTTAATGGGTATGCAACCAAAAAAATGAGTTAGTGTGTTTTTGTATGCATATTAGAAGAGAGTGTTGGGAAATTAATGAAAAAATGTGCCAGTTGGATGCGTTCAATACTAAAAATGTATATTAATAGATAGAAAGTAATTGTTGGATAAACAAAGCAATTGTACTTTTGCCAAAATATAATTATTGATTTTTTGTTGTTTCATTCGAATGCTTTTCATAAACATTTATTTTATATATTTATGTAAGTATTGTCTTTTATTGAATATCATTTAATTATATTTATCTTTATTCAATATTTTAGTAATATATTCTTATAAGTGTTATATAGATATTTTATATGTAATACGACAGCATTAACATTAAATCGATTTGATATTCCGATAGTTCTCGAAAAATTCTGCTAAAGTTTGTGGATGAGATTCGAAGATAATAAATATAGTTTATTCAGAGTTTACGGATGACTTCCGGTACCCGATATATTCTTAACCTGCATGAAATGCATGAAATCTGAGTGTAAGTTATCAAAGTTCTTTCAATAGTACGACTACCTGGACAGTCAAATGGCATAGTGAATGTTAACATATGGATCGTTTATTTTGAAAGTGGTGTAAGTCCATTTTTGAAAAAAAATTAGATATTACGTAATGTAAATTTTTTGTGTATAACTAGTCCGTGTTTAATTTCTTAAAAAATTCCCCTGTTTTGTACAATTTAAAATTGGTCGGTAAATGAAGCATCATAATCATCGACTATGAAAGTGGTGTAAGTCCAATTGACAGAGGTAAGTGGCTTAGTTGATGGTTGTCGATCAGTAGCCTGTTATTTTTCTGCATTTGTTTTATATTATGTGTCATATTACGTATCAAGAGTTAGTAGTTTAAGTTACTTATTGTATTTTTTTCCTAAAATGGCTAACTTCAGATTAACATCAGATAGTGATATAGGTAAGAACAAATGGTAAATCAATATTATTTTATGACAATTGAAAATATTTATTTTATTTAATTTTAAATAAATTCACACAGAAATAAAGCCCATGAAAACTCATTCCAGCAAAAAAATTCGAATCCAAAAATTGTAATTGTTCGAAGAAATGTATAGAACGTATTAATGAAACAACGTATACATATTTTTGATAAGTTCTGGAATATAGGTGATTTTAATAAGCAAAATGTATTTCTCTATTGTAATGTTCAACGTGAAACTGTCAATAGAAGAAGGCCTAAAAATAATTCGGGCACTATGAGGGCATATGGTTTTAAATTTTACCTGAAACATTTTAGTATGTGAGAAATTTTTCATTGATACTTTCCAAATATCTACTGGACGAATTGATCGTATCCTAAAAGCGCATGAGAATATTCCGAAAGACATGCGTGGAAAAATGGATGGCTCTAGCAGAAGAACTAGTGAGCTAGTGACGAATACGGTGACAGAACACATAAAAAGCTTTCCGGCATTTGAAAGTCACTATACTCGATCCCAAAATCCAGAACGGATGTTTTTAAATTCTGAATTAAACATAAGAAAAATGAAAGGAAAATAACTTGTGTTCACTTAATGAATGGACATACAGGAAAATCTTTAAACGAGATTTCAAGTTACAGCTGATGACAAAGAAAAAACAATTCTTGTACAAAGACATGATGTTCACTTGCAAGATGCTGAATTAGCAAGAAAAGCTTTACAAGAATATCTTCTTGTAATGCTTGTAAATTCTGACATCAAAAAATCCTGATAAATACTTTGCATTCTCTTTTAACTTACAAAAAGCCTTACTTTACCACAAATTATCTATCTCAATCGCATATTATAAGCGAAATATGTATGTTTTAAACGAGGCTTTTCACAATTTTCACGATAATAAAGTTAATATGTATGTGTGGGACGAAACTATTGCTTCCAGGGAATTGCAAAAACTAGCTTCTTGCTGTTTGAGGCATTTAGAAAATGTAATGACCCAATGCCATGTTATTACATTGACATGTGTACTGGGCAAAATCTAAATTTACAAATGGCATTGATGTGGTTCAAGGTTGTCCAGTCGTTGGAAAATAACATTGACATAATTGATCACGAAATGGCATTGCGAAAAAAGAATTTTATTTACACACCACAGGATTATTACGATGTAATAACTAATAACACAATGTAGAAAACATGATAAATTCATTTTACATGAAATGAAACTCTTATTGGTCGTAGCTCCACAGCCAAAAAACTTATGATTTGATTTATCGAACGAGAAGTGTATCTGGCGCTTTCTACGAGCAATAACAAAATAAGTTTCAAATTCGTATTTCTCATGCTTGAAAACATAAAACTACAAAATTTTATGCTAATAGAACAAAAAGCTTCAAAATTATCAAGAAATTTCGAAATAAGAACTTAACTTTCAACAACCTGTGCCTTGAAAACCACTGACATTTGTATAAGAGATGTTAGGTTAAATCATCATATTTTGGTGTCTAGTATCTCCGGTATTCGGATTTCCCATTCTTTCTGACTCACCCTGTATAATATGTAATATTAAATGGATCGTTTATTTTGAAAGTGGTGTAAGTCAACATATTTTTTAAGTAGATATACTTAAAAGATGTCATAAAAACTATAGCTATAATCTTGAAAGTATTTTAGATTGAAAGTTTCAGATCATCAACCAATACTACCAAAATTTCAAAACTGCACGAATAGTAGAACCTAATAAATAATAAAGTTCTAACGAACCACTTACGTGGTACACCTGTACGGTTTGTTGGGTACCTTTCTTATGGTTATTGCATAATTAACGAAAATTGCTTGTAATACTTTTTAAACCGATTGTATTTATATTGTAACAATGCTATAGTGATACTTATACTATGATTTAAATTTTTAAGTAGCTACATTTTTTGGTAGTAAAATTAGAGGGCTGTTAAATGTGTTACTTAAGCATTTTTGAGGGATTATCTGTATAAATACGTTTTATTTTTATTGAATCTAGACGAAAATTGTAGAATTGTTTGTCATGGTAGAATATAATTTTGGCCAACAGATAAAATAGGCAATAGTAATCTTTAATATTTTGAACCTCAAAACTAAAATATACAGGATGTTTCAGGTTTTTGTAGCAGGACTTTAACAGTCGATAGATCTTTTAAAATTAACACAAAAACTTCATATAAACATAGGTCGACAAACGCTTTGTTTTGGAGATACAGGTGTTCAAATTAAATTTATAAATTTAATTTTTTTTTTTGATTTTTATTTAATATTACACGTGTATTTCAACCGATTCTTTTCAAATTTGGTATACGGGGGTTTTTTCAGTTTTTTGGCATGAGAAAGACGATTATGTGTTACTATAGCCGGTAGAGGGCGCTCTGTAACGTATTCTTTACGGATTAAAATAACAATAACTTTTATGACAGTATACTTTTTGGCTTTTTGAATAAAAATTCTTATTCTCTGTACTTTTTAAGCAAAAAGGGTACTCTTATCAAAATGCGCTAACGTTTATCGTTTTCAAGATAAAACGCTTTTTACTATTCGATACAGACCAATGTTTTTAGAGGATAACTAAAGATAGTTAAAACAATGTGTGCCATGGAAACAAAGTAGGTAAATTAACTAATGTTTTAGTTTATTAGTAAAAGTATCAAAATATTTTGTTTAGAATTTTAAGAGGATTTCATACAGGATGTTCCATTAATTAAAACATAACTTTGTTTCGTCATAACTTTTTGACTGACTTTATACTTAATTTGTCTTTATTGTAATAAATTTTAAAAAACACTAAAACTTTCGTATCTTCAAGGACAGTAGAATCTAACAGGACTACTACATCCATTGTTGTGACAACGTGCCCGAAAAACTACGTCACACCATGTTCCACGTCCAGCTGTTGTTGTGGTCTATGCGTTTGCTGTGTATTTTTAGACGTATTCATATTATTTTTGAAGTTTTATTTGTTTAGTTTAGACGTATTAATGTCTATCATACAACCTCTAAATCTCTAAAAACACACCAAACGCATAGTACTGAATGACAGTTAACAGGGCGTGGCAAATAGTGTGACGTAGAGTACGGGCAACCAACGTGGGCTAAAAAATACAATGGATGTAGCAGTCCTGTTAGATTCTACTGTCCTTGTTGTATCTTAACATTTTTCGCTGGCATCTTACTTTAGGAGATAACCGACCGTTTCCATACATATCAGCGACCCTCTGTCTACTCGTTATTTCAAAAATTTGTTATTTCAATCAATATGATTGTTTAAAATTGATCGTTTTTCAATTTCCATTTATTACTTTTGTTTTATTTACTTTCTTAAGTGACTTTTATATCACCTTAATTTTAGATGCCAATTTTACAAGTATTCAATAGTAAAATCCACAGGGTATTTCTGCTATAATACATAGCTAAATATTCTATCAATACAAGACATTGTAATAGTTACCAAATATACTCATATAAAAATGTTCCACTGATCTTAGTTCCTTAGGCATAAGTACGATTACAACGTATTCTCCAAAACACTATTCTCACTAAATCACAAGAATTTTGATTCGGTATATAAACACTTTTGAAGCAAATGTTAAAATAGTTTTGACAAGAAGTCAGTTCATTTATAAAAGTAATTGTCAACTACTATGTAAAAAACAAAAAAATTGTTGAATGAAGTAGAAATAATAATAACAGAAGGCTTACAAATTTATAATTTTAATTTTTACTTACCTATTTCTTCAACAGATGGCGGTTCATTATTTAATTCTTCTTTTGAAGAATGAAACGGATTCGTCCAAATGTTATGTTCATGTTGAGTTTGTTCACTACTAACAACATTTTCCTCAACATTTTCTTGCAAATGAGGTTCTTCTATAACATTTTCATTACCATGGGCATCTTCAGTAGTACCAAAAAAACTATTATACCATCCACCAGAATCCGATTCTTTTTCAGAATCAAGTTCTAAATTTTCAGACGGATTTTCAGGAGTGGTATTAATTGAGTGATGGTCTTCAGCAATATTAGGAACAAATTCTTGATTGTTTTGAATTAAATCAAGATTTTCATTCAATGATGGAATTTCATTTTGAGTTAAATCTTGATTAATATTATTATTATTAATATTATCGATTATTGGTGTTTCAGGAATAATTGTATTTTCCGGTATTGGTATTTCTACATTTATATCTTCAACAATATTAGGAGTTTGAGTGTCTTGAACAATCTTTTGGGGATCAAAATCAGTATTAATTGGCGTGATTGGTTCAAATTGAGATGGATTTTCTGATAATACATTTAAATTAATTTCGTTGTTCTTTTGAGAATTATCAGAATTTTCAATTTTTACTGTATCAAGATTTTCTTTAACTTCTTTAATTTGTGTATTTTCCTCTTTTAAAACATCTTTAACAATAATATTGTTATTTTCATCAATCTTATCAAGATTTTCTATTTCAACCATACCAACATTTACATCAGCTTCTTCTACTGAATCCAATTCTAATGGTGTATCCTCTTTTTTAGGTTCTTCAACAGTAATATTCATATTTTCATCGTTCCCTTCAACATTTTCACTTTTTACAATATCATTATTGTCAATTTGGACTGATTCTAATAAACTATTTTCTTTCTTTGTATCATCTTCAACCTCAATTTTATGATTTTCATTAACTTGTTCAATATTTTCAGTACTTTCAGCTTTTACATCAACATTTTCATTGTTATTTTCAATTTGAATTGGTACAGAAGGAATATTTTCCTCTTTTGGAACTTCTTCATGAGAATTTTGAACATTGTTTTCTTCTGAAGCATTTTTTTCCAACTCATTCCCTTCATCCTCAAATATGGCATTAATTTCTTTCTGTATATTTCCTAATCCAAAACCCCAGAAGCTATCATCACTACTATTTTTAACATCTTCATCATTTTCTTTCAATAGTCCAGGATTTTCAGTAACTGTCTCAATTTTTGCTGAATCATCATTAAATGGAACATCCAAAACGTTTTCTGTTGTTACAACCACACTTTCTTTTATTACTTCTTCAGATTTAGAATTATCAAGTATATCATCCTCAGAGTTCACAGTTTCTTTTTTAAAAACATCATCTGTTGAAACAATTTCTTCATCATGCTGTAATAAACTCCTTGAAGTTATCGAACCTTTGGTTATAATATCTTCTTGACTTTTTATATCCATTCCATATTCTTTTTCTCCTTTAGACTCATCTGAACCATTTATTTCACCTTTATGTACTGTAATAATTGGATCATCAATTATTTGTACTTCCTCCTCTTGATCCTCATCATCTTCACCATCCTCATCATCATCATCTCCTTCATCATCATCTTCATTTTCTGATTCTTCATTGAGAGTGTTTAAAACACTCTCTGTTGGTTTAACATTTTCTTGTGTGGCACTTGGGTTAATATCATTAGGACTTAAGGTAATGGTGGTACCATCGATTACTTCAGTCTGTTGATTAGGTAAAATGTCCTCAGAATGATCTGAGGAAGGCACCTTTTCGAGCTTAGCAAATTCTGTATCAACGAGAAACGGAAGCTCCTTTTTAAATATGCGGGTTTCCCTTAAAAATTTCTTGTTCAAATATCCCCTTTTTCCATTGTATTCAACCCCCCACAAATCCATGTTTGAACCAGCTGATTTACTAAAAACGATTACCTCTTTGTTTTGCGGCACCGATAATAACCCCTTTTCGGGACTATTATAGCGTAAAACGGTTCTTGCGAGAGATATTCGTTCTAAAAACACATTTATTTAAGATTGTGACATATGATTTTGTAGGTTAAGTGTTAAAAAAGTCTGTTATTTTTACCTGTGCATTCCTGGTTGGCACACAATCTTTTGTCCGATATATTTGATATAACATTTTGAGGAATTACCGCAAGTATCACAAGAAATAAAAGCTTTAAAGTGAACATTTTTGCATTATTTGATAAGCATCCCGATGAGCCACATCACTGATTACTTTGACAGGTGACAGCTGTGATACTAAGAAGAACTATTGTTTTGAAAGCATTTTAAATAATGGCGCGAAATCTATTTTGTTGTAAAGTCTATTATTTCAAAAATAATTATAATAAATCTCAATTAATAACAACATTATATAAAATATTTTGTTTTATTAATATTGATTACACCGCAGTTGAAAAGCCCAGCAAAAGGGGTGTTAAATTTTATTTAATTTGAAAGTTAGGATATTTTATTAACATTTATTAAATATATTTTTGGAATGAAAAATTAACAAATTTTTACATTATATTATAAATTATAACTATTTATAACTTTGTTTATAAATATAAATAGTAGATCAAATAATTTTAATTCCGATTATGACCACCAGATGGCAGCAGCCCCAGGGATCTTTGATAGGAGAACTTGGGACTGATTGTATGTCGAAATCCCCCCGTAAGATGGCATTAGGTCTATACTGAAATAATTTAATTAAACTAACAATTTTATTATTAATAGTGGGAATGATGAGAGACAGCAATAACAATTATTGCCAGTATCATTCTTTTAATTTAAAAAGTATAGATTCCAATTCGTTTTATATTTTTAAATTTGCCGCTAACTTCAACTTTTAAAAGTTGAAGTTTGTTCAGAACAGTTCAGAATGACAGATGAAAACGTCATTTTAAAGTGATTTTTCGGTAAGAGTATAATAAAGTAATAATAGTAGGATTAAATAATTAGATTATAATTGACATTATAGCATTGTTTCAGCTAACGTTATAACTGGTTGGAAGCTCGTCAGATGCAATCTGATATGTCGTATGATGCAGTGATATTCAAATGTGGCGGAATTATTTGACAGGTGTAATTACCATAGGTAATTGCATCTGAGGAATTCCCAACCAGTCGGAACGTTAATTGGAGTCCCATAGTGGCTCCAAACACTTTCCAAACAGTTATTCTGTGGTTGGAGCTTTTATATATAAACCCAATCCAACCTGTATTCTAGTGGTTCGGTTCTTAGCTGAATAATTCCGAAATATCCCCAACAGATGGCGCCACATACATTCAATTTTTAGTACGACGTTTTTGTTTAGAGAGTTGCATTTCTACGAAGCTATTTTCTATGGATGGCAGAGGACTCTGATGACCCCGACCCCTATTATTTTTTAATTTTAGTTGTTTTCCGATGTATCACATTCCGTTTTCAATATGCTAATTTTATCAGATTATCAGTACGATCATTGACTATTTTATACCAGACTGCTAACCGCTACGTAAAAATTAGTAACCCGTAAAGTGTTATTTTTGGATTTGTCCGCTATGGGGGCGCTGGTTGATTTTCTAATAATAATAGGTAGATATGATTAAGAGATGGCAGGACTATTTTTGATTTATATTCGCCCTCTTATATATCCTTGTACTAATAATAAAAATTGTTTAGTACTTCCTCTGTCCGATAATAGTTGCTACATTTCAGTTTAATGTAAAAATTATTGTAAATATGAAATGTACAAGCGATTTATCTAGATACATAAGGTAGACAATATAACAATCAAAGTGTGCCATGACCAAAACCGACTTAGCCACTGCACTTGTTTTGTGATAATTAGTTCCTTATGTCAAACAATGTCAAATTTGACCGCTATACATTTAAAATGGACAAAAATATTTCAGAATACATTCAAACAGGTGGCAAAAAGTGTAGAGAATTTAACAACGACCAAGGTAAGCAAATCTTACATTATTTACTACAAAATGTCAGTCAAGGAAAACTTAAACGAGGCGCGATAAATGCCGCCGCACGCAAGTTTTCTTGCAGTCGTTCAACGATCTCCAAATTGTGGAAACGAGCTAAAGGTTGTCAAAATAACAATTCTGTCATTAATGTTGATTGCCTTAAAAAAAGATGTGGACGGAAAGTCAAAGATTATAGCCAGCAAGTTACAAACATTTCTTCTCTTCCTTTGTATAAACGAACTACATTAAGGTCATTAGCTTACGCATGTAAGGTGCCAAAAAGTACATTGCATGACAGATTAAAGAAAGCAAAGGAAATAAAAAGAATCACTAGTTTTGTTAAACCATTGTTAACCGAAGAGCGACGAATTGAATTTTGTTTAAAGTTTTTATTACTGTCAGGGTATTTCGAAGATTTGCTGAATTATATACATATTGACGAAAAATGGTTCTATATAACCAAAACTAAAAGAAGCTTTTATATAACTCCCGAAAGAGAACAGCCTTATAGACCTTGTAAGAGTAAAAGACTTATTACAAAGGTAATGTTTATGGCGGCAGTTGCTCGTCCACGTTGGGATTTTCATAGATAAGCGTATTTTGACGGATAGTTAGGAATTTGGCTATTTGCATCTTCTTCTCCAGCTAAGAGAAACAGCAAGAATCAACCAAAGGGAACTTTCGTAACCAAAGCTGTGGAAGTTGTTAACAAAGAAGAAATACGGAAAATGATTCTTCATAATTTCATTCCTGCAATACGGGATAAGTGGCCTGTTGGTTCTAAGAAAAATAAGATAATGCAAAGCCACATTTGTACAGTCACGATTCTTCCCTAACGCAAGACTGAAGACNCTGATGACCCCGACCCCTATTATTTTTTAATTTTAGTTGTTTTCCGATGTATCACATTCCGTTTTCAATATGCTAATTTTATCAGATTATGAGTACGATCATTGACTATTTTATACCAGACTACTAACCGCTACGTAAAAATAAGTAACCCGTAAAGTGTTATTTTTGGATTTGTCCGCTATGGGGGCGCTGGTTGATTTTCTAATAATAATAGATATGATTAAGAGATGGCAGAACTATTTTTGATTTATATTCGCCCTCTTATATATCCTTGTACTAATAATAAAAATTGTTTAGTATTTCCTCTGTCCGATAATAGTTGCTACATTTCAGTTTAATGTAAAAATTATTGTAAATATGAAATGTACAAGCGATTTATCTAGATACATAAGGTAGACAATATAACAATCAAAGTGTGCCATGACCAAAACCGACTTAGCCACTGCACTTGTTTTGTGTTAATTAGTTCCTTATGTAAAACAATGTCAAATTTGACCGCTATACATTCAAAATGGACAAAAATATTTCAGAATACATTCAAACAGGTGGCAAAAAGTGTAGAGAATTTAACAACGACCAACGTAAGCAAATCTTACATTATTTACTACAAAATGTCAGTCAAGGAAAACTTAAACGAGGCGCGATAAATGCCGCCGTACGCAAGTTTTCTTACAGTGATCTCCAAATTGTGGAAACGAGCTAAAGGTTGTCAAAATAGCAATTCTGTCATTAATGTTGTATGCCTTAAAAAAAGATGTGGATGGAAAGTCAAAGATTATAGCCAGCAAATTGCAAACATTTCTTCTCTTCCTTTGTATAAACGAACTACATTAAGGTCATTAGCTTACGCATGTAAGGTGCCAAAAAGTACATTGCATGACAGATTAAAGAAAGCAAAGGAAATAAAAAGAATCGCTAGTTTTGTTAAACCATTGTTAACTGAAGAAAATAAAAAGCGACGAATTGAATTTTCTTTAAAGTTTTTATTACTGTCAGGGTATTTCGAAGGTTTGCTGAATTATATACATATTGACGAAAAATGGTTCTATATAGCCAAAACCCGAAGGAGAACAGCCTTATAGACCTTGTAAGAGTAAAAGGCTTATTACAAAGGTAATGTTTATGGCGGCAGTTGCTCGTCCACGTTGGGATTTTCATAGAAAAGCGTATTTTGATGGAAAGTTAGGAATTTGGCTATTTGCATCCTCTTCTCCAGCTAAGAGAAACAGCAAGAATCAACCAAAGGGAACTTTCGTAACCAAAGCTGTGGAAGTTGTTAACAAAGAAGAAATACGGAAAATGATTCTTCATAATTTCATTCCTGCAATACGGGATAAGTGGCCTGTTGGTTCTAAGAAAAACACAATATACATTCAACAAGATAATGCAAAGCCACATTTGTACAATCATGATTCTTCACTAACGCAAGACTGAAGGCGGTTGGGATATTCAATTAAAACCGCAACCACCCAACAGTCCCGTTTTAAATGTGTTGGATTTAGGTTTTTTCAATTCCATTCCATCAGTTCAGCATCAACTACCACAAACAAATATCGATGAATTAATTGAAGCAGTGAAAAAATGCTACTGGAGTATAAGCAGAGAAACTTTAGATAACGTATTTATTTCACTGTAAAAAGCAATGTTTATTGTAATGTAAATTAAAACACCTAAACAAAATGAAATTAAGACGCAATCATTCTAATTCGACCTTATTGTCTATTAAATGCGATGAAAATGCTATTAAAATGGCTCAAGAATATTTAAATAATAGAAGTAATTAAGTATTACAAATAAATAGTTTAAGTTATTGTTTTTTTGTATTTTCAATTTAAATAAGTAATATAGTTTTGCTTTCTAAATCTTTATTTCTTGAGTTTCTTTAAAATAAAACAAAGTGTAGCAACTATTCTCGGACAAAAGTTAAATTCAAATGTAGCAATTATTTTCGGACAGATGAAGTATTTCTTTTTTAATTAATAAATAAAATTTTATTGTATGTAACCGGTTGTTTCTACCAGTTTATTTTCATTAAAAGGTAATATTAATTTTTAGAGAAATTTTTGCAATACTTTGAACAATTTTAAGAGTTGTTCAATCGAGTGCGGGAAGTTAGCCCCATTTTCCGATTTTTAAATTTTTCATTGTTGTTCTAGATTGTTCTAGAGTTGTTCTACATTGTTCCAAAGTGGCAAATAGAAAAAAATAACTCGGCGAGAAAAATCGAAAAAACGGGTTTTTTGACTAGCCCGCCATTTTTAGAAAAATCAGATTTTCTTAGTTGTTCTGGGTTGTTCTAGTTGTTTTAGTTATTGTTCTAGAAAATCAAAATTATGGGCTATTATTTGGCTGCCAAAATGTCTAGTTGATTGCTGTGACCATAGTTTTTCTATTTTCAATTCCATGTTACAAATATATACTTATTATACCTAAAGCAATCTGGAAC